AACTCTTCTCTTATGTTGTCCCCATTCTTATTACCATAGGACTGTACAAATCCTAAAAATCAAATATATTAAATAAATAAACTAACAGTTATTTGACCTACAATATATATTTAAAAGCATATACATACCACATATAACAGGTTCCCCAAATTTGTTACCGTAATCTGAAGCACCATTGCTAGCATCAATAATAATCTGTAATGGACTAGCAAAATTATTGGGATACTTCCAGCTTTTTTCCTCCCAAGGTAAATCATAACCTGTTTAAAAAAATATATGCCTATAATATAAAACCTCCTTATATAAATATTTTATTAATCTACCAATTATTTACCCGGTATAAGTAAGTTGCCAACACTATACCCTGCTGTACCGGCAACAGTATGACCACCTCTTCCCACTCCTTGGACATCTCTTATTCTGCCACCAGTTCCAGTGGTAGCCCCACTGAATGGTGCAACTGCTGTTGGCATATTATGTGTCTCAGCGGTAAATATAATATCTGATTCAGTTAATTCCTTCATCACTTGAGATGGCTTCGTTACATCCAGTGGAGTTAGTTTGAAGTGATTAAAACCCTTGATTGCACTGTAATTTTGTATAAGGATGAATAATATTTGTACAGAACATAATTTGAGAGAATTAAATATAATTGAGAAAGTGTATATTTAATGATACCTGCTATTATCTCCAAATTTTATGACATTATTATTATTTGAAGTTTTCTGTGTTGCAGCAACCATATCAATCAGGGACTCATCTATTTCCTCTCCATCCAGAATTATCTTACCCTGATAGAAAAAACATGACATTTAATATTAACTTGATTATGGACTGGAATAGATTTAATATACATTAATTTCTTAATAAAAATATTTACTTTGAAAAACCAATGCCGAGAATGTTCACTGTTGCTTTGAGCAAGATCAAACAACTCAACACTTGTAGGGTCTCTTTTCAGTTTATTAACAAAAAGGTCCATGTAAAATTCCATATCCCAGGCGTCAAAAGCCAATCCTAGAATAATAATTGATTTTTAGGTGTTATTAAAGCCGATCATAAAAATATTTTAAATTACCAAAAGTTTATCATGAAAAAGTGAAAAGGACAAACCTAATTTTGTATTAACTTTTTCCATAGCTGCCATGCCCTCATTAAGTAAGGGGACCACATACCAAGGTTCTAAATCTTTAGGAAGGCCTTCATTAAAACTTTTCTGTGGTAAATTTTCTTTAGTGTAAATACATTGTGTCATTCTATCATGCAACGGAGCAGCCAGAGCTTCAAATAAGCTGTAATCAACATTTTTCACTGCCTTAAATGTAATGAGGTATCTTATAGATACTTCAAGACGAACCACTTCATGAAGTCCAACACTATCACAAATTTGAACAGAATTACTTGAATCAGCTGTTGAGAAATTAAACCTGAAATAAAGTATATGATTTTAGTTAATACATAACAACGCTATCTAGTTTAAAAAAATATATATTTCAAAAAATATGTTTTACCTGGGGCCAATTTCAATTATAAGTTGATTATTTTTTACATAGTTATATTCAGATTCATTTTTTAATGAATGTGGTTGCAATGGGGAACTGAGAAGCCATTGAAGGATTTTAATTTGGTTATTGGAAAGATTGTTACAACCTTCGGCAAGTTCCACATGGTAGCAAACTTCTGTTGACAAGTCTTTTACATCGTTGTCGACAACTTTTAATTTATTTAATATCTCCTTAGTTTTGTGAACACTAAAAGCTTCACAGGTAAAGAACCTCACTATACCCATATTAATTGAAAAAATCACAATTTACAAGCAGTATACTTTATAATTGTTCCTTCTTAATTTCTTATATGAACTGAATGATTGTGCCGCCTTCGGTAAAGTGTTGCTTAAATTCCTATCTTACATCAATGTCAAAGATCAATCTGTATCAATAAGTTATTTATACGTTAGGCGAAAATAAATTACAAATACTGTGACTTATGCTTACGCAATAAAAATATATGATTATAAATGAAACTTAAATGTTATAAGAATTTAATACTTAAATTTTTGATTTATTTAATAAAACTGTAATAGTAGTTTTTCCTATCTTAGTTATGTGGTTTTGTTTAGGTACATATAATATTTCTTTGACTGTTTGTTAATTATTATAACTTTTTCAAGTACATATACGAATTATTTTATGGAATATTTAATTGTATTTTGAGTTTTTACCTCAAGTAACTACTTAGTTTCAAGAAAAATCTTACATCTTTACTAACTATCAAATGTTTTTTTAACAAACATATGTATTATTTGTATATAGTATTATAGACTACCAGTCGAACAACGTATCATCCAGGAAACACTACAAAAACACTTACGTAATAACTTTTTAGGAACGGATAGGGGTAGCCTAATATGTAGGTAGCCGTCAATGTGATATATTAAAAGAATCAAAAATTACTATGCAGTAGACTTATTGTAAAATTTTGTTAGAGTAGATAATTTTAATTAACTCAAGTCGCTGTATAGTTATTTTTGAGTAGTACCTAGGTATTTCGCAGTTTAAGTAATTTTATTCAAATACGATTATTCATTTTAAATATGACTGGACGTAGGTACTAGGTCTATAATGTGTTTAGGAGTCCCGATTAAAAAAAAATCACTATCGTTAAATGTAAATGTTTAAGACTTTTGTTAAACAATAGCAACAGCTCCGGTCGCTGATATGAAATTATCGATATATAAAAATAATTAATTAGCGCCTATAAAAATATGAAAAATTCATAAATGGAATGAATATGTAACATACCTCATGAAATAAAACTATGTTACTCAGCTTTGGGGATTTACTTTCTACTTTATTATTTTAATTATTTTTGAATAATGCTTACTACCATTACGATAGTCAATGGTGGCGTAATGGTTAATGGGCCCGCCTCTCGTACACGGAAGCACTGGTTCGATCCCGGCAAGTACCAATGTGATTTTTGCGAGTCATATGTACTTTCTAAGAGTATTTAGGCACCACTGACAGACGGTGAAGGAAAACATCGTGAGGAAACCTGGACTTATTATTTCACAATTATAAGTTTGAAATCACCACCCGTCTTGAGCAAGCGTGGTGATTAATGCTCAAACCTTCTCCATGTGAAAAAGAAGCTTTGCTCAGCATTGGACTCTGATAGGCTGATGACAAGTTATTACGATAGTAAAGAGGGGTATTATAAATTTGATAGAATAGAATAGAATATACTTTATTGTACCCCACAAACAGTAAATTTTACACGGAAAAAAATAATAAAATAAATGGAAATGTACAAAAAGGCGGTCTTATCGCTATGCAGCGATTTCTGCCAACCTTCGATTTGGGGAAATTGTGCAGCGAAAAGGTAGGTGGTGCCTAATCCTTATATACAGGGTGACTGGTGAATTATTATCGATATTTGAGGACGTGATATTTGACGATCATATATGACAAAATAAAAATTAATATAACATAAATATTAATAAACTTCTAAGTAAAGTTAACCAAAAGTTATGTAATTAATTACGCATCGTATGAACACCCTACAGATTAGGTATACACACACACTCACACATACGCGCGCGGAGGCGTATTGTTGTATCAGCACGCCGCCGCACGCTTCCACACTTGGAACACTTGGAACGTGTACACACTTTATTTATTTATACGGAAATTTGGTCAAAAATTAAGTACCTATTTTTTTTTTACATAATTCGAATGAGAATCATGTACCGAGTATGCCCCTTAAATATTGATAGTAATTCACCAGTCACCCTGTATACACAAAAATAAACAATTAGACATATAAATATGAATGAATATAATAATATATAAGTCGTCTCAAATATTTACGTAAATAATATAGACACAAAAGTTGAATAAATTACAGTAAGTAAAAAGAAATAAATAAAAACAAAATAAAATTAGTAATGATACCGATGTACCTAAATATGTGGTATCGAAACTCTTAATACAAAGCATCCCATTTTTTCATTTGAAAGCCAGTATACTTCTGGGGATTCTTTTGTTGTAATTACATACTTAAAATTGATCCAGTAGTATAGGAGTTTCAGCTCTACTCCGAAATTATGTAAAACAATTTTGACCTTTTGTTACTTGATCATATGGCAGTATATACTTACTAGCAATTAATTGATCAATAAAAGTCAATGTGTTGGTTTCTTGTTATTTAAAAAGGTTTTTAATCAATAATTACAACATTCGTTACTTGTTCATAATTAGTCTCTATTTAATTTTTGTAGAATAAAAACACTTTATTACTCAACCTTAACATTTTGGACTAATACTAGATATTTGAAAGTGTGAATGGTTGTCATTTGTTTTATTTTGGGTAAAAACAAAATTTACAGATCATTATAATATGTACCATACTAATTACTATACAAATAAAATAAGTCATATTAAAGATGGTAATGTAATTATAGTCGGAAAAAGTCTTCTAGAATCTAGTATATAAATAGAAATTTCAGAATACAAAATCTTCATTAATATTGGGGCTATTAACGCATAAAGTTTAGAAGTGAAATTTCTAATTCTACTTCTAACTAAATTGCGTTAAACGTTTTCGCTCCGGGGGTATAAACAGACAGAGCGAAATGCGTGGCTCTCTAACGCATGCCTATTATACCTGTTTGTTTATCAATATTATTAATAATTAAGGTTTAGTTTTTATTTCGCCGATCTCGAATAATCTGATATGAGATATCGTCAATTAATTGAGAAAATTACTTTCAAAATCATATTTTCATCATCATCTTACAATGTTCTCCTTACTATTATCTTATTACGTGACCAATTGAAATATATCATCTTATACAAATAAGTGTATAAAAAAATCGATTTTTATATCAACAATAGATAATAAAACTTCATAACTGCATTATTTTATAATTATGAACCAAATTCTTCACCCTAATTCAATAGTAATAGGTTTTTACAATAAACAAATAGAGATTTATAAAGTCATTTATTAATAAATTTTTCCATACAATCAACGAATCTTTCAAACAGGTCTTGCCATCGTTCTTGCTGTCGGAGTTCTCTCTTTCGCAGTCGTACGTGTTCAGTTGTGAGTTCTGAGAATAGTTTGCGCCAGCGACTGTCACTGACTTCGAATGTACGACGAGACGGGCCTCTCGAACGACGAGTACGACGAAATACGGAACCGTGGTTATTAATATGCCGAGAACGTGGCGAAGACAGTCTTCTACGACTATCTATAGATGCATCAGAACTCCTTTCTTGTGATCCCTCAGTAGACGTAAAATTGTGACTATTGTTTTCTTCTGACACTGAAAAAACATTGTTAACAAATTATAAGTTGTAACATATGAAGGTGACCATAAATGTTAATTTTCAATTAGGACCTTTTATTGTAATAGAGAAGTTTACTCATACATATTTTTAGAAATATTTCAATTTATAACTGCATTCATAACAAGTTTTTGTATATGTTCCAAATTTTTTTTGTTCTAAATTTTAAATTTATTTGTATAAAGGAATTATATGTATACATTAATAAATATATAAAATTATTTAGAGGGTGATATGACTCGTGGAAAGCAACAAAACTAGCAAAAAAATCAGATAAATATCAAATTGAGACATTTAACTCTAAAAAAAAACAATACACCAAAAACCAATTTAATGATGAAAATATGTATGTTCGAAAATTGTGGCATAGGTAAAAAATATATATACATACTACTCTCCAAATGAAACATTTGGGGATCTAATTCTGTTGATAGAAATTGTACTGTTGTTGGCGCAGGAGTAGTTTCATCCGGATTTAAATTGTCTGTGTATTGTATCTGCAAACATTTTCATAATAAAAAATAAATACAAAGAAAAAAATTATCACTATTTATAGTTATTAAACAACTAATAACACTATACTATAGCAATGAACTATTTTATAAAACAGTCTTAATCTTTGACTACTTTAAAGACACAACTCAATACTTTTGGCAATCCTATATTGCAACATATAATTACTAATTATTCAATACTTTTACTATTTTAAAGGAATCACTTTCTTACTGTATCCATTATTGACACTCCTGTATACAATTAATTATAATATTAATTATGATTTGGATTTTTTGAATAATATTTGTAATTTTCAACTGTAACATACTCTTAATATAAATTTTGAAAAGAAATTAAAACAGATAGTGAATGAACTGTTCATAAGTTATGAACTGAGGACTATATTCAACTAAGTTTGTGTATTACTTGTTATTTGTTCACCTTTCATTGTTGACAGATGATATATGTCATTTATGATTCAATTAGTTTACCATTTGAGGGTAAATTACTCTTATTGTACTTATAGTGGAGTGCCGTAAGCTTTATACCTCGGAATCCAGGGCCAGTCAATGAATCTTAATATAAACCTTGAAAACATGTTTTTAATAGTATAAAGAAAAAAGTTAAAAAAGAATTTTTTCGCGCTATCAATTTAAAAAAAAAATATTTTTTTTTATTTTTTGGTTTTTTCATTGATTTATAGAAGTGACAAAGATAGAGAAACATGCTTTGACAGAGTGAGATAGCATTAGGGACCCATATGGGTCAATTTAGCGTGGGATAATTTATTTATTTCTCTTTACTGAGGTCATAAACGATGTTTATGAGTTTTCCAAATATTAAACAATAGACGTCTTTAGCTGTTACCCTGCATAGAAAATTTGGCTCCAAAAAAATTATAGGAATATGTAACGCTTTGGGCTTTTGTGGATCATACAAAGAAGCAATAATCTATGAAGCTTCTGCAACCTTAATCTGTAAAGGAATAGAATCTGTTCTGTGAAAATAAAACCAGGTACTTTTGTACAATTTGTGCACGATAACGCAGATTTCAATATCAACACACTGGAAGGCAAGGGTACTTTCCATAATTTGGGTTCGATTGAAATCGTAACTCCGAGCGATGGAATACTAACTAGATGACCAATTAAACGTTTAGATAAAATTCCAACAGAGACAACCATTTCCGAACATGGTCATATACCGCTTCAAGTATATCCTGCTTCTGCCGGTGAAGGATTGATAAAACTTCAAATCAAAATTTCGGAGGAAGAACCAAATTTAACCGATACAATTCCCTCAAAACTAAACGTTCTCTGGATGTATCTAAAATTCAAAACTAATAATGAATTCCCAGGATGGAACGGATTTATGAATCTGTTAACTAGTGCAAATGGTTTTGACATTTCGTCAATAATATTCTTACCATTCATTAACGCATCTCCAAGTGATTATAATACTTTGTATACGGCGATGAAAACATCAGTAGAAAACGCACAGTCGTTAAATATGAAGACATGCATTGTAACTTTTGATCAACCTTTGTACATTAAATCGCGAGATATAACTTTAGCGGTATGTTTATCAGATGAAACGTTTACTGTTGTCAGATTGGGTTCTTTTCATACGCTAATATCCTATATGGGATCTATTGGTTATATAATGGCCGGAAGTGGAATTAAAGAAGTTCTCTCTTCGATTTATACCACAAATACAATCGATCATATCATGTCTGGACGAGCATATGCTAGAGCGGTACGTGCACATATACTTATGCAGCTAGCTTTATCAAGATTAATTTTCGGTGATCTATTAAAAAATAATTCGGAATTCAAAACTGTCATTGCTGATCAAACGAATGCCAATATTTTTGAAATGTTTAATTATACCGAAATAACAGAAAATATTGGATTTCAAAGTTTAAATGAAATTTTCGAAAAAATATTACATGATTTAGAGAATAAAAATGAAACGTCCAGATTATGGATCAGCTATTTTCGAATGGTATCAGTGCTAAAAGATTTTATTGCAGCTGCACTAATCCCTCACCTACAATCTATATCGAAGAGATCGACGACGACGACAATAATGTACAATGATGTAACAATGTGTATAGTTAATAATAATTTTTTTTTGTAACTTATTTTTAACAATAATCTAATAAATAAAAATTGTAGTTAATCTGAACATATTATTTATAACAAATAAAATTAAATTTTTCACTATAGTAACTTTTTTCCCCTTCCTCCTCTCATTTTTCAGAAAATTGTTGTTAAAAATAGTATAAATCGAGATCGGTGATTTTTTTTTTAATTTTTTATTTGAGGTTTTAAAAATGCAGTCTCATACTTGATATACAGACTCATTGACTGGCACGGGATTCCGAGGTTTGTCCATTTTTATGTCTTACGGCACTCCCCTATTAACATAAACAGTCTATTAAAATGATGGATGGATGAACTCATCCAAACACCTACTGCTTCTGATCTTTACCACTTTGTACAAAGTATAGAGCAAAATATAATAAAAACTCTTTATAAAACTAAATAAAATGAAATTTATATAGGCATACCTCGACCCCCATTTCTTCTGTAGTATCCAAACTTGAAGGGTTTCCTTGCCCCACAATATTTAGCACCCTTTTTTCCAATTCATTTAAAGCCAGCTTAGGCCTTAAATGTTCAGGCAAGCCAGATGTTTTTAGAATTTTTAATCTTTTTCTCTTGGTATTATTTTTGAGGTCGCTCCATACCTATATTATCAGATGTAATCTTATTACCAAAGATTTTAATTATTCAGATATTTAACAAAATAACTAAATATAGACCTTAGTAGTTTATAGTTACAATTGTTTGAGAATGTCTGAAGTGTGAAGTGAAACAATGTATTGGATCCAGAGACTTCTCACCTTCTTCCATTTTTCAAGTGACCTTCTGTCTCCACCATGTTCCCTATTAAGAGAATTTGCCAACATCTGCCATTTTTTTATTATTTCAAGCTTGCCCTGAAGTCCGTCATAGGAGGGCCTGTTAAGGTCTCCATGCCTAAAACAATAAAAATAAAGGCATCTGTTTAAAAACTACTACATTTACTCATAAATATACTATGTGACTATTATTATTACCTCTCCATAAAATCTACAATAGTCTTGAACTGTGCAGTACTTGTTTTCATTATTATATGCCTTAGGTTGTTGACTTGGGAGAAGAATTTGCAAAGTAAAACTTGTATAAAATAAAACAGAAGTCATTTATTTCTTATGTGGAAAAACTTATTTTAATACTTCTGATACTCCTTTTACATTTTCACGATTGGAATTCCATTTTTAATAACAATATAATATGTGATCCCTCAAGAACACTGAACAACATTGTAAGTACTTTTTAACTTTTATCTGTTTTGATGACTGACGTTGACTTTACTTTATATCAAAAGCATTATTTTGGAGAACGTTCAAAAATTGTATTAGATATGTTTTTTTTATTAGAGTTCTATAATAATTTACAACATTGTATAATTTTTATCTCCCTATGTCTTTATAAAAAAAAATCTCATATGAACTGGTTTTAAATTTATTTTAAGAAATCTAGTCTGACACCAGCACTTAAGTCACTGTAAATATGGTTGTATATTGGATCTATTTAGACAGTCAAAAAATATAGAGAAGGAGAAAGTTTTATTAGGTACTACAAACATTATTCTGATATCTACGCTTGTGTAAACAATTTTTTGTTAGAAGGGTAGTAACTCAAAATAGGAAATGGTGAGTCGTACTTCGTGATTCTTTAAAGTATTTAAACTTATCATGGAATACAAGAGTTTGGAAGGAAAAAATGATAAAAAGCCTATAAATTTTCTTTTAAATCTTTAGTTTACATATTTAAATTTTTTAATATAACTTATGAGTCTTACACTGCAAACACAGTATACTTCAATTTGTTAAAGTCGCTAAGGCTTATATTGAAGTAGGAGACTCGGTCATATTCTGAAATAAAATTAATCATACATAAAATGTATGCAATATATCTCTCGTTTAGAATTTTGTGATGAGTGTAACAAAAAGTCAGTTGGCTGTTTAGTACATCTTCTGTTGCAATATTTTTTTTGTAGTGTTGCCGTTGAATAATAGATTTAGAGTATTTTGTCCTCAAATAATAACACGTCATAGACCTTATATTGCAAAAAGCAAAAATCTTAGGTATTAAAAAGAATATGTATGACTTAAAAAAATATTATAAGGCTAACTAAATTTTTTTTTGTGAAACATTTGTTTATACAACATAGTGAAAAGGCAATTAGTCATAAAGTTCTCGTATGTTATTTGAGAATTAATTTTTATCAGGTTTTGTGATAAATATTCTGAAAAAGCAGTACAATTCACAGACTATAATTTTTCATGATTACCAGCCATTTTGTTTTAATATGGCGGTGGATCACATTTAGGGAAGGTGGTGTGCGCGTCATATATTTTAAATTTCCTTTAAAATGGATAAGGTTTTAGTGCTTAGTAGAAAATAAGTCACAATTTTTTCACACACTGTTAAATAATAAGAACATAAATATATATTGTAATTCGTAAGGCGTCAACACGCCATTTGGCGGAGGGTTGACCCAAGCCGCCGACAAAGTATATTATTATATTATATTATTGATTATTCAATCCATGCCAATATGATGATGTATACGGTAAGTTTTTTTGTCTCTTATGTTTAATTTGTAACCGTTTTAACTTACACTGCAGGCCAATTTTACTATTATTTATAACCATTTTCATATAACAAGGGGGCTAGTTCAGTAAAATGTCCCATATACTTAAGACCTATATACCTATCGTTTGCTATTAAAATTAAATATCATTAATGTTATTTAATAATTTTATCAACAGCTTTTAGTCTTTTGTTATTGATGTACAAAATTGTAGGTTATAAATTGATTCGCTGCTCAGAATTTTATATTTTTTATAGTGCTTTCGTATGATCAATAACGAAAAAAAAATGGTTATTGTCTTAAGTGTTTTTATTTAATATATAAAATCATATCACCTTCAGCTTTACAAATGTAAATAAATTGTAACCATTAATCACTAGAATTCTGCCAGCCTGGAAAATATTAACATAGTGTAATGTGATGTGTTAATTTGATAACGTTAATAGAACAATATAAATAATTGAGGTCATATTATTATGAATTTTCCCCCCATTTATCCCTTAGACTATACATATTAGACAATTGGTATCAAATAAATTACATAGTGAAATGCGTAACTTGATCCTGTAAAATCCTGTAAAAATAATTATTTACAAAGCCATAAAAAGACACCTTAATGAATTATTTACTCCTTTTCTAATTTTGTTAAATTAGTACTGCATTGCATATATCATTTAAGATAATACTTTTCAGTAAAAACAAATTGCAAAATGTGCAGAATATAGTTGCTAAATCTGTGAAGAACTCTTGACTTTGATTCGGTATTTGAGTAACAAACAAGATACATTACAGTTTTTTCTAACATGATATACAGTGGACCCCCGGTAATCCGGCCCCTGTCTAATCCGGCACCCCCTGTAATCCGACATGATCTTTTATTTATTATTGAATACATATTTTGTATTCGCTAATGCATGATTGAACAAGTTACAACTTGTACGCACTATCACTATTGTGCTCCACGCGTAGGGTATTGTTTTGATTCTGATTGCTTAGTTGGAATTTGAATTTGTACTTCAGAGTACATATAAGTATATATGTATATATAAAATGTAAATAATCTTATCATTGAATCTGTAATTTGTCGGATTACAAGGTACTCTTTTGTAAAAAAATCCGGACTATAGGGGGTCTTAGGCAGTACTCTATAATCTGACGAATTCAATAGTTCAACACTGCCCTGCAAAATGTTTGTCGGATTACCAGAGGATCCACTGTATTACTTAAAAGAATATTCACAAAAATCTATGAAATGTTGCTTTCTGTGTAATTTAAAACCATTGTTTAAATTGCCGTCTATTTCTGTATTTCTGTAAATATTGAACAAAGTTAAGAAAATTACATGAATAAATTTGATTCAGAAAATAGACACTATCTAACATTTAAAATATTGAATTACTGTTACATGGTTACTTTTTTGTTATTATCTGGCATCATGATAGGAATTCATAATTAAACATCATTTACATTGTTCATAAAAAAATAAGAATTTAAATTGCTAAAACTATAAAAAGATGACATTTAAATCATCACCAATATGACGTCTTACTAAAATTATGAATTTTATCATAAATTTATATTACCATAATTTTTGTATGGATACATGATCCTAAGCATTTCTAACATTAACAATATATCATGAAACACAATACATAGTCCTTGTCTTATATATGTATAATTACATTTGTGTTATTTTAGATATATGTTTAACAAATTATTATTTTTAGGGTACAAGTACAGAGCAGGATACTCGCTTCAGCGATAAAGAAAAGAAACTCATGAAGCAAATGAAGTTTGGTGACTGCTTAACACAACAGGTATAGCTGATAGAAGAATATTAATATCCGTTCACCCTAACAACATGTCAGACTTGTTTAAATATATTGTGAAAATACACCTTCAAAGATAAATTAAAAGATACATATTAATATATAATTAGATCTGATATGTTCAACAGGGGAACTGTATTTTTGTAATTTATTGTACATAATTTTTAATTGACATTAATCACCCTTATCTTTTAGTTTTGGCCCACGAGTTATTTTTTTTATTATGATTAATCAATTATCTTTTTAACTTGATTCTATTATGTTATTTTGATAACGAAATTATCGTTTCCAAAAACGAAAACTAATTGTTGTCGCTAGGTTGACATGTCGAAGGTGAAACTGGACGTGCTCAAGCCGTGGATCACTCAGAAGATCACAGAAATACTTAAGATGGAAGATGACGTCGTCATCGACTACGTCAACAATCAGCTCGAGGAAAAGGTGGCTAGCAAACAATATTAACTATCGATAATTATAAACCCATGTAATCATTGCACTTCCTTTGAAATTAGTTTGAATTTCAATACTTAAATGAATAAAATGTTTATAATACACAGCTAAAATAAAAGGAAGTGCAATTGAAGTGTTTTAATATAAAATGTATCAATATTGATTGCCTGTGGCTATTTTTATGGTCCCCACCGGTTAGCGCGCCGCCGCCGCTGCCCGCAGCCGCCGCCCGCCGTCGCAGCCCGCCCGCAACACTCTTTCGGAGGCCGTTAGCATTCTCAATCGGTATTTACGGGGAAATTAAATACTTAAACAATGCTAACTATATAAAGAAATGCGCTGTGGCTACATGAATCGACTCATATATGGAACTCCGAGGCGTTCAGAGAGAGATTTGACTCGAGGTAGGGAAGTCCCCGTTAGGCTTTGCGGTCAGCATAATATGGTTGTGTTCGCAAAACCCTTACAGATGCAAGAAATGAAGAGTGGATGGTTGTTGGTGCGGTGTCGGCGGGTGCGTGTGGGTGCTGGCAGGGCAGCCGGGCGGGGCAGCTGTGCTTCTCGCCATCACAGCGCCACCTCACCGAACATACTAATAACATGTACATTTTATAATGTGATGTCGCTTCCCTACCCGAGTCATTTCTGTGTTCTCTGTTCGTTCCAGGTATTCTATCGTTGTTCTCTGAACGTCTCCCTGAGTTGTTTTATATTTTATTTTCTCCGAACCGAAAATACGTATCCGTAAATAGCCTCATAACGATGCCATATTCACTATGGGTTTATCCTATGTGTTGTATATTAATCGAATGACATTAATTATGATATTTTTCTTCCCGTTCCGCCGCCTCCCTCTAGTTCCCTTGTCCAAAGAAGATGCAGATCAACCTGACCGGTTTCCTGAACGGCAAGAACGCGCGTCTGTTTATGGGCGAGCTGTGGGAACTACTGCTGAGTGCTCAGGCCAGCGAGAACGGGATACCGGAGTCATTCACGCAACAGAAGAAGGAGGAGATTAAAAAGCGCATGGTAATCTATATAATGAATGAAAATACATTATATATTAGTACTTGGGGCCAAAATTGAAAGGGTGATAACATTGGTTTATGATATATTTAATAGGTTATTATTTACAGGAGGAGCAACAGAAGGATAAGGATAAGGAGAAGGATCGTCGTCGGTCAAGGTCGAGGTCGAGAGACAGACGACGCTCCAGGGACCGACGTAGGTCACGAACACGCTCGAGAGATCGATCAACGGATAGAAAGTATGACCAACAAAAATACTATATACAATACTATTAGTATAACTTTGTATCGTTTTATAACAGACTGATGGTTCACATAATTCATTTGACAATATTTTCAGTGATATAAATAGTTTTGAATCGTACAGATGTCGACAAAAACATCAAAATTATAACAGAAATTTGCCTAAAAATGGTGGTTAAAAAAGAGTTTGTTAGTGTCAATATTGAGATAACTTCAAATATCTGAAACTTTAATATTTATTAATGATTTAATTTTTATGTAAAAAGGTTTACATATAAGGCTGCTAGTATAGTTTTGATTTATATAGAATATTTGTAATATTTTTAGACATAGAAGCGGAGGCAGTCCTCGTCGTTCGAGAAGGCGCAGTAGGGACAAGAGCAGCCAGTCCAAGCCGTCGCAGGTTGACGACATTAAACTACCAGAACCAAAAGGTATTAACTTTATGACCCTACTAGCTGCGCCCCGCGGTGTTACTCGCGGATTTCCGGGATGTAAAGTAGCATATGTGTTATTCCTGAATGTCAGCTTCCTGTATACAAAATTTTATCAAAATCGGTTCAGCCGTTTGAGCGTGAAGAAGTAACAAACATACACACACTCACAAACTTTCGCAATTATAATATTAGAAGAATATTAAATGAACTATCATCACTCGGAAACAACTACCCATCTTCATATACTAAAAGTGTGTTCTAATGTTTGAACTTCGACCTATACAGGGTGACTGGTGAATTACTATCAATATTTAAGGAGCATACTCGGTACATGATTCTCATTCGAATTATGTAAAAAAAATAGGTACTTAATTTTTGACCAAATTTCCGTATAAATAAATAAAGTGTGTACACGTTCCAAGTGTTCCAAGTGTGGACGCGTGCGGCGGCGTGCTGATACAACACTACGCCGCCGCCGCGTCTGTGTGAGTGTGTGTGTATACCTAATCTGTAGGGTGTTCATACGATGCGTAATTAATTACATAACTTTTGGTTAACTTTACTTAGAAGTTTATTAATATTTATGTTATATTAATTTTTATTTTGTCATATATGATCGTCAAATATCACGTCCTCAAATATCGATAGTAATTCACCAGTCACCCTGTATATATATTTGTTTTAATTCTAGAAAACGGAAAGTCACCGGAAAAGAAGGAAGAACCTGAAGTAAAGGAGGAAGTCAATCACCATCCTGATGCTGAGTCAGCTAACGAACAAGCCAACGATTCAGTCAAGGAAGAGAAAAAAGATGATGAACCTAAATCAAGATCTGCTTCGGCCGATAAGTGAGTGATAAGTTGATATTAGTTGTTTTATAAAGCTTTTCAGATAACCTTAAGAAATTTTTTAACATTTTTTCCTCAATTAAGATAGATATACTATATAAAATCCTTTAATTTTCGTTGAATTTTTTTTTTTTGTAATGAATATGCTGTTAGCCCTGCGGCTGTTACAGCGTCACCGGTAGAGTGGGCCAGTGCCGGGACTGACCCGTTTCGAGGGGGCCTGAAGGGCCCCCAGAATTTTCGTTGAATCACATCAGTATTTAACAACACTTGCTAGATTAGAAACCATTATACATATTTTGTTATAATAAGATTGTAGTTTTGTAGACATTTTTTTTCACAAATCCCTAATGTAAATTATTTTGTCAGAACTATTGTGGAAAAACGTGAAGACAAACCAGCTGATAAAACTAGAAATTCTTCAAGCGAACGTCGCTCTACATCGGTTTCATCGCGTAAGTTTCTATTAAATTATAACTGTAATCCAATTGTAATACATATATGGTATCTTTCACGAGAAAAAGGCTTTGAATTAACCTTTTATGACTAACTTCCCACTTATTTTCTTAGGTGGAAGCGCTAAAAAGCGATCATCGCACAAAAAGCGGCAATATCGATCCAATCGTGATTCATCAACCAGTGTTAGCCCTAGACGTAGCTCTCGCAGGGAAAGGTAACTTTTGAATACACATATATTCATAATTAAAGTACAAATTATGGCTCAAATGCTCAATACCAAATGAAACAAACTATCAACTTGTTCCATATAATGAGTTCTAAGATTTTCGCGAGTACTCATTTAAATGAAACTAATATATTCGGATTTTACTTCGCGTATTTATTTTTTTATTATAAACTACATACTCCCGACGTTTCGGCTACTTTTCCGAAACGTCGGGAGTAGGTATGTAGTTTATAATAAAAAATAAATACAAGAAGTAAAATCCGAAATAATTAGCTTCATTCGTTCAATATAAATTTACATAAAACAGTAGTTTCTCCTACTCTTATAATTTAACAAATAAAATAAATTAATTCAAATTTCTAATGACAGGAGTAAATCTCGCCACCGTAGTAGCAGACGACGTTCTATAGAACGACGTGACAGAGAGAGAGAACGTGAGAGGGAAAGAGACAGAGAGAGAGAACGAAGACGAAGAGAGAGGGAGAGGAGGGAAAGGTAATGTATAATACTATGAATACATTTTTATAATATATTGCTCATATAAATAGAATTCTGCATCATAATGAATATGCTTTAATAGTTTTACGTGCTCTATTCATAATATTTTGATATTTTATATTGAACTTATAGTCTTCTTCTTCTTCTACATGGCAATTTCCCGGCTATAGCCAGGGTCTGCTTACATGTTGTAAATAGTTTTGGCTAGTTGTTTTTTATGACCGGCCGCCGGCCTGACATCAACCCTCTTTTTTGGGAATGCACTAATCAGTGATGCCTAAATACTCTTAGAAAGTACATATGACTCGGAAAAATACATTTTTATATTATATTGCTCATATAAATAGAATTCTGCATCATAATGAAATATGCTTTAATAGTTTTACGTTCTCTATTCATAATATTTTGATTGTAGTATTTTTCTAATGATCTAGATTTCAGAGTACTTTACATATTTAGTTGTACTATAGTAGTAAATACAGTTTCCTTGCTTATTTCCACTTTAATAAAGTTTCTTTATACTATTTATTTAAACACCAGGTCGCGTGAACGTCGCCGATCGCTCGAAAGACGTAGACGTTCTCGTACACGCTCTCGACGACGTTCAAGAGACAGGTAATTTATTATTTATATTAAATTATTATTTTTAAATAAGCATAGAATTATAGAGTTTGCATGAAACCAAATTCAGAGTCTACCATATTAGTTTAAAATCTGACCCATACTTGATTTATTAAATGTAAAAATCAACTTATAAAGTTATGTAGTTGGTAAGCTATTTATAGTGAATGTTGTTATTCAATTAGATGTCATTATAATCAACATTACAATGTATGTTTCTGTTGTTTCATTCTTATAATATAAAATGTATGTGTAGAATGAGTCGTGTAGTGATCAAATTTCTGGTATAAAAGACACTAATATTTACGAATTACTATTATTTTTATATTTACTATTATACGTTATTTCGTTATTATCTCGACGTTTTCGTTACCATGCAGTAGCTTCACGGTTCACGACTTCACTGTTAGGTTTAAAGAAGTTTTATTTTCAAAAAGAACGAAGTTCGCTTACAAAGGAAATTTTGAAAATTATAACTACAATTAAGATTACAAATAATAAACAGTAGTGATATTAAACAAGATCAGTGAAATCATCTAATATATGGGTTCTTAATCGTTTTTTAAATATATTTAGAGATTTTGAATTGACAACACTTAGAGGCAAAGAGTTTCTGCAAAGTAACTGAAATGTCAAGAGAATGCGGTTTCAAAAACTTTAAACTACGTTATTTTAAAGTAGTAATCAGAAAATATTAGTTTCATTTAAATTTATGGTATTGTCATGTTATTAACAGATCTCGTGACCGCCGTCGCTCCCGCTCCCGCCGCCGCTCTCGCTCCCGCCGTCGCTCGGGACGCTCCCGGGATAGGCGATCCCGGGACCGACGATCACGGGATAGGCGATCCCGGGATAGATCTAGGTTAGCATTATAATGATTATATACTTTGTTGTTTAGTAACGTTTGTTGTTATTTGTCTAGGTGGTACTTAATTAATGTTTAAATCAAAGTACATGTCGAATGATATTTTCTAAAGTGTTATTTATGTATTAATTTATTATCATTATCAAGAATGTTGTGCCATTAGAATTGCTATGATTGGTATATGTTATTCAAGCTGATTTAAATTTTCTTTAGAGACAAAAGATCAAGGGATAGGACTGTGAAGGATAGAAGATCACGAGACAGGAAATCCCGTGAGAGGAGATCGAGCGATCTGATTAAAGAGCGTTTAGAAAAATCCGTTTCTATACCGCGTAAAGGTAAGATTACTTTCATCAGTACTAAATTGTTCTAATTCGAGTCCTATATATCTAAAATGTAATACTAAACCATCAAAATGTATATAACTATATCAATACAAAATTATTTTACAGAAAATATTGAGAAGTTGCGTAAGAAGTCGCCGGAACGCGTTTCAATACCGAGGGAGCGTTCCAAAGAGCACGTGTCCAGTTCTAGCAGGGAATCATCGGTGGCTAACGATAAGAGTGTCGTACAAAATGAGACTCAAGATAAACCGCCTCAATCATCTGACGACGAGGAGCGAGATGACTTCATCCCTGTCCCCGTGCTACGAGAGTATTCAAAGAGTCTATCACGAACACCCTCGCCCTTCCTTAGGAAACATGAAATGGAAAACAATAAGAAATCCGACAGATCCGGAGATGACGCATCCGGCAGGGAACAAAATGAAGAGGAAGTTAAAGTCCAAGAAGTGAAGAAATCAAAACGTAAAGGACGACAGTCAGAGTCGGAAAGCGAAAGCAGCGAGGGGCTCTCCAAATCTAAGAATAAATCCAAGCTTAAGCGTAAAGAAAAGAGCACATCAAAGAAGTCGAAAAAACCGAAAAAGGAAAGTTCTTCTAGCGACAGTGAATCTGAAGACTCTTCTTCTAGTGATTCCGAAGAAGATAGAAAGAAGAAAGCAAAGAGGGCGGGCAAAAAGAAAGTGGGGAAGAAGTCTAGGAAGAAGAGGGCTAGGTCCTCTAGTTCTGATTCAAGTTCTGAAGAGGAGGTGAAACATAAGAGTTCTAAAAGTAAACAGAAGAACATTCCAGAAGAATCAGATGCGGATAAGAAATCCAAGAAGAGGAGTAAAGATGCCAGTCTACCACGAACCGAAAAAGGAGACGGTAAACCGATTAAGTCCAAGAAAGTAGCCAATTCCGAGGATTCACGAGATGATAGTTCTGACAGCGATGAAAAATCTGCTAAAAAGAAAGCTAAACATGACTCTACATCTTCAGAAAAGGAAGTGAAGCGTAAGAAGGCTGAAATGCTTAAAGAGAAGATTGCTTCCCCTGAAATAATTAAACCAAGAAAGAGCGATGAAAAAGGTTCTAAAGCTAAACATGCAGATGACGTGAAGCCCAAGAGCCGCGAAGAAACTGAAAAGAAAGCTAAAAAGAGAGAAAAAGAAGATTCATCATCTGACAGTGATCAGATTTCAAAGAAGAAAGCTCGCAAGAAGGTTTCCGATTCAGAAAGCGATTCGGAAAGCGACGAACCTAAGAAATCTAAGAAAGCTAAAAAGCATAAGAAACATTCAAAGAAGCATAAGAAACACAAAAAGCACAAGAAAGCGTCCAAGCGTAAAGACGATTCATCAGACAGTGATGAAGCGGAGGAGGAAGAGGAAGAAGATGGTAAAGTAAATAATGAGGACTTGGAAAAAAAATTACGAGAACGGGCTCTGAAATCTATGAAGAAACAAACTAGCGTCTCTGGCTCCGACTAAAGAAGTTTTAATTCGTATTAATATTTACAACTAAGGCCCCACCTTTGTCCGACCAAGTTATACGTCTGATAAAACACAGCACATACATTTGTTATTAATGTATCGATGAACAATATCAGAAGCCTGTCCTTTCGTATTTCAAGTGTTGACATATTTTTTATTACAGAACGTTTTATGTGTTTATTTACGCTGGTAACTACGACGATTTTAAGTGCAGTAGCAAATATGATTTTAGGAATATGTGTATGTCTTGTTTAATAATAAAATTTGCTAATTATTCAATATAGTTTTATTTACACAACTTAGTGAACTAAAACATATTTTTATATTGATGGTAACTTAAAAAGAATTTGTTTCATTTGGTTCTCTTTGGTTATTAAATATATGAAGTAACACTGTCATTGAACATTTTCTAGCTTAACTAATTACTTTATACAATTGTGTTAGTATAAACTAAAACTAATTATGATCTATACATCGATGTTAAGGCCAATGAAATGAAATAATTTGTGACATTGAGATTTAGTGAGATGTAGTCACTTGTGGCGCTAGTTTAAGTTTGCTCCAGTGAATGTGTGAGTAAAATTTACATCTTTTTGTCCCGTTTCTTACAAATTAAATGTACATATCTTTTTTAATAATTATCTCCGTGTGTATCCCCTATAACCGGTTACTAAACTCGGTGTAACACCACTATTGTAGATACTTCCGTAACCTATTTTTTTCGTTTGATATCCATATCCAAGATGGCCTCCTCCTTGGTAATATGGGTTATTATATCCGGAGTATGAATTGAGCCCACCGTTACCACCATAACCACCGTAACCGCCATTGCCGCCATAACTTCCGGCGTATCCATTACCACCAATTCCGTATGGACTACCGCTGTTTCCATATCCACTACTGCCGATTCCATAGCCGTTGTTACTTAGTCCGTATCCACGGCCGCCTACATCATAGTCATTACTATTGTACCCATAATTTCCATAGCCACCTCGTACACTGCCGTCTATAGGTTCATATCTAGAGGGGGCAAATCCGCCTTTATACCCACCATAGGAATTATAGCCATCATTTCCAAGGCCAGGGTAACTATTGAGTTTAAGTGAATTATCATAGCCATTGAATTCTTTATACAATGGATCTGCGGTGTATTTATCGTCAATAGTACCGAAACCTGTTACTGAATAACTGTAACCGCTGGGATTTCTGCCACCCCAGTCCGAGTATTGGTGAGAATCTAAAAAAATATATTATGATATAGCATATCTACAAGTAACACTGTCTATATGTTCTTTTTATATAGGGATTAACAATTTATGTTTTACTTACATGAACTGCTCGCTGTCTTGAGGTCATTGTTTTCATTTATCTGTTTAGAATCTATTAAGGTCTTTTTATTTTCATCAGCAACTGGTACAGGAACTGCGTATGCTAGCGTCGCTAATGCAAATATGAGATACAACTGGAATACCATCTGAAACAAATTAATGAATTAGACATGAATTTGCTTAATGTTTTAACAACAGTAATAAGGAAATTAAAATAAGACATAAAGAGATACTGTTTAAATGAGTTTGTGGTAATGAATCACGGCATAATTGGGCCTTTATGCTGGAAATTAACAAGAATTATGACACCATGAAGGTAATCTTATATACAGGTGTTTAATATTTTGACCCTCAATGCAATAATCACCTTTTGTTATGATATTCTCACATTAAATTCTAACGCCCATATTGTTTAAAAAAATATTTTAGTAATCGCATTCCACAATTCCCATATTTAAACATTTAAGATTCTTCAAATTTCATTCAAGACTTAAATTCTTATATTTCCTTAATTATCTGAATAAAAAATAAGTTGGTTACGCCTTCACGCTTCGGCTGGTTGTCATACACTTACAATTTACCTATTGTCATGGAAGGACAAAGGTACTTGATATATGTATATACTATATTTATAAATAATAAGAATAAAACAATTCAAAACGATAAAATGTATGGTTTCATAAGCTTTTCTTAAATATATTTATCTATAATTTAAAAATAGGAAATATTGATATCTATTATCTATTACTATGTCATTTTACAGAAGAATTTAACGACCAATAAAATAAGTTTGTAATCAAAACAATTGGTTTAATATTTAGAGAATTAATAAATGTATTTGCATCAGTTTTACTTTAAGGTGTGGCTATGGCATGAAGTTAATTATGAAGATTGATGAAGGAAAGTTTTTTGATATTATCTCATTACCATGAAAAATGCGTAATGCAAATCTCGGTCCAAGCTGTGTTATTTGATTCTTTTTGCGCCAATAAATTAAATGAAATTGCTTTGAACAATATTCAAAATGCTTATGAATTGTAAGAAAAATTATCGAAAAAAATTTAACGGACAAAACCAGAATTAAAAATTGAAACAAAAAGGAAATAATATCATTTTAAAAAATGGTATACACATCGAGAACCTTAATTTAACTCTAAATTTTAAACATTTTATAAATAAATAAACATTGACTTAAGACAAATTACAAAACTTTGAAAGGTTTTCTCATCACTAGGTACTTACAACTGTATACAAACTAATCTTTTTTTTAAATAATAAATTTAATAAGTATGTTATTTATTTATACTCACGTTTGTGTCAATATATCCAACAAATGGTCACTGCCCACTTCTATTGTGGATGAGTTTAGATGCGCTCTGCGTGCTTGATCATACGTTCCAACGTTTATAAACCGTGGGACTTTTGTCTTGGAACTGACAATGGTTGCTTGGAGGTAATGAGTCTGTTTGTAGGCGATCCGTCCTTCTACGAGGATGCTATGACGCAGACTACATTTAGAATAATACAATATGTCATTCAGCAATAAAATCTCAGTAGTAACATCAGTTAAAAGTGAGGCCAGGAACCTTATATGTTTGTGCACTTAATTATTTAATGAGTTCCGGCTATTTTTGTCACAGGTATTATGTCAACACTGAAGACATTTAAATCTGTTTGTTCAAAAGTATTTTACCTTAAATTAGTAAGGAAATATGGTTCAGTCGTGAATTCTATGTTTAAGTACGTCTACCTAGGAATTGTTTTAGGTATTTTCAAAAGGATTAAAAAAATCCTTATAACCCGATAGTTAACAAATGAAGTAGGTACCACAGTTGTTAAGTCGTAAATCTACACATACATACATTATGTATACGAATTTACTTAACAAGACTATTTCACAAGGGTTGAGAAAGATTTTTAAAGTGACCCTTAAAAAAAGACAGTAATATAATTTGTTTAACAGCGTACCTATTGATTTGGAAGCGTATTCGTAAAAATATTAAAATTATTTTTAAAAGGGTGGCATTTATTGTGATAAGATTTAAAGTTACAGCAAATAGCTGAGAAAAGTTGGTACATTACTAAACTATTTAGGTCTTTTTTATTTGATAAAGACTTCCTAATTCATGTACAGTATAAAGTTAGTTTATATAATTAAGATATTATTTGTACAGGATCATTTAAGCAGGTTTTATAGACGCCCGTTTTTATCGAATCAGTGAAATGTATGACGTCTTACTTATGCTCCACTGCGTAGAGGATGTCGCCACAAGGTCGGAAAAGATGATTGTTTCTAATTTTAGTAACACACAATTTATTTTTTATTGTGAATTTTCATCATTAATCATAAAATTTCACACTTTAAAGTTGTTATTTCATTGGTAATATTAACATATTGGATACTTGTTAACGAAAACATTAATGCCTACCAAGTATAAGTGTGTCATTTTACTATGCAATCTTATACTAAAACCACATTTTAGGTTTTAATCTGATTCTCTGAGGTTTACCGCTCAGAAGCGATTGAAGTTTAAGTTTTTCTGGTCAATACTTTTGGAATTAAGATATGCTGTGACATGGTACTTAATTATATGGTACTTAATAATATATTCACTTAGGGGGGGTTCAAGTATTACGTAAGCAGATTTATTACAATTATTTACCCCCCCATCCCCCTTGTCTGCAAAAGTAAGCTCTTACCCCCTCCCCCCATACTTACCTAAACATTTTCAATTACTGTATTGTTTTTTTTAAATATAAATTAATAAAAAAAATATTTTTTTATGGATCTTCTCGATGTGACGTTAAAAAAGTAAATAACTACCGATGACGTAATCATCATCTAGACTCCCCTAACCCCCATGTCATCCAAATAAGCAAAGCAAAGACCCTCTCACCCCTCCATAGTGCTTACGTAATACTTGAACGGCCCCTTAATCATTTGATAATACACAGTACCCTTAACAGTTCTTACCTAGTTGTTTTCAAATATACTTCGTGTATTGCATTAATGAAATATCTGTTGCTGTAATTATTTCCTTAACATGAATCATCACACAGATCAATTGTTTCATATAAGGATTAAAGCAATGATTTAGTAGTCGTTTGTCACACGCCCGAGTATTATAAAAATTTCGTATTTCGCGATGTTACCTTGGAGTTTAATATTAGCAAACATATATAATAAATATATAACTGTAAGCCCACTATTAAGGGCTAAAGAACTTTGATATTGCATGAACTATCTAAGTTTTAATATCTAATTTTTTTATGAATTTTTGCTGATAAGCCACTCGATAAACATAAAGGAAAGTCTATGTCGTTCCTTGTTAAAATAAATTTATTAAGTTTTAGGTTCATTCACCGAATGGAAAGAGATTCAAATATAAATAATTTTTATACTATAGAACAGAAGCCGGGAGATAACATAATATTTTTAAAGTGTCGTTATGTGGTAAAAAGTGTGTGTGATAAAGGATTCATTCTATTTGAGAAGTTGTTCGATTGACTTTGATGGTTATGAAAATAATAAATATAAGTCTTGAATTAAAGTTTCAATAATAAATTTAAAGTTCTTTTCGGCATAATTTTTTTATTCATTTCGAAACTAAAACAATCAAAACTCACTTTGGTGAACTAATTACAAGTCATTTTGATTTTAAAGATATCAATCTCTTGTTAGGCGAGCGTAATGTGCATACCGTATACTCGACCAATACGAAAAATATTTAGGATTACATATTACATCCACTTGTTAGAATTTTTTGTGGCTCACGAGAACCGTTTAACCGCTTAACCGTAATCAATGCGTTAAAGAATTTCTACTTCTTCCTTAATGTTTTGTAACGTGCACCATCACCGAAACTTCAACAATGTTAAAATTTCATAACCATTTTTTTATTTTTGATAAGCAACGAACAAACACTTTTATACATAAAACTTTTAAGCATAGCAATCATTACCGGATTATTGTCAGTCACTAGTCAGACACAGCGATTTTTGCGCAAAATATTTTAGACAGGGTATATACTGTTATATTATAACGAAATTGTTATCCTTTAAAGCTTAATTGTTTTACTTGGGTTTTGTTGCCTAATAGGTATATGGTATGTCTTGTAAGTGGAAAACAAAGACCTCGCAGTGACCCATGACGAGGTATTTAAGTCACGGTCGTCTGAATAGTGTGTGTACAAAATCTTTATAGTGTTTACTACAAAATTAATAGTCATATATTGATAATAATTAATCCATGTTAACGGACGCAGAGCACCTAAAATACAAATAGAATACCTACATTGTCACAGATTATTTTAAAAATCGCTATAAACCTGATTGGTTATCGTTAGTATTTTATTATACAATGTATATTTTCTGCTTATACGGCATGGTTGACATCAATTTCAAATATTCTTAATGAAGTTTACTAATAATCTACGTCTGTAATGTTTATGTATTAATGTATTAAACTATCAAATAAACGTTTGATTTAATATATAGGTATATAGTTTCGGTACATATTTATTTGACAATTCATTTAAATTATAGTAAAATCTGCTATTTAATCCTGTTTTGACGGATAATTTCACGGTGGTGTAATTGTTGCACGTGATAAAATATTTTAAGATTATTTTGAATCTCATCTACGCAGTCTATACCATATCTTGCGTTTGGAAAAGACATTTTTCTTTCACAGTGAATGAGTACCGAGTGTTAGGGCTAATTATTCCTGGTATAAAGTTATATGGTTTTAGAGAAAGCGTGAATTAAAAGACAGTTTAAAATTATATTGTTTAATATTTATGCGTTTTATGACTTCCAACTACATTATAGTAATTTTTACAAAAAAAATATAAAAAGAAGTATTTGAGTTGAGCATAAATTGATATTGTAAATATTACATACTTGGCAGTAACAAACATGTAAATAGTGATAAGCTACTTCATATAACAATAGTGTTTAATCAGCCATTCTGATAAATAAATATAAGTTTACCTCAACTAAAATTATTTTGAAAGCGTCCAAGTATTGTCGGACGATTTCAAAATTCATTTTGTTATAATATATAGTCTAAATATATATACTAAATTATCACAAAGTGATATCATTAATCTTCTTTCGGCTTGATTATCAACTTCCTTTTATTTTTCTTGTCGTCCGTCATATCGTCCAGAACTCTGGTATTCACGGCTATCCTCCTTAAACTCCTTCTTGGAGGTTTAATTTGATTTTTCAACAAATTCTCCAATTCTGGTAGTGATTTGATTTCTTTTAAGTCGTTCATTTCAATGCTACGTCCTCCATTTAATCTTCCGAAGTACCGGTAGATGTCATTCGACGCTTGACATTGGCCACAATTATAAGGAACAGACACAGCATTAGGGAAATTTTGCTGCGCAGTTTGCATACCAGTATTATTTCCAGGACAGTTGGGAACGAAGAGGACTGGTATAAACCCTATAATGCCATAAGGTGTGTACCCTTGGTTAGGGTATTGATTATATTGCATTTGTGGATAAGATTGTTGACTATTTTGGCCCGGATTTAACAGATAACAGGGACACGAGGCGGGGCTTGGCACGATCGGCAATGGGTACGGTATAACATAAATAGGGAACGGCGGCTGCTGACTGGGCGGCGGATAAACTGGTGGTTGAACACCCGTTCCGGAAGGTGCACCGACGGAATCGGGAACTGTAATAAAAATGTAAAATGTTTAAATTTTATTTCATGAATACAAAATTATTCACGTTCCAATTTGTCTCTAGTTGCTTCGTGTCCATTTCAAGTCAAAAATTCAATTTAGAAATATCAATGAAAATTTTTAAATCTATCTTGACCTAACAGTAAAATGTCCGGTTTATTTGTAAACATGTAACACAATTTATCGAAAATACCAAAAACAAACTATACTAACTAAGAATATATATACCTTGTCCGGATTGGTTACTACCAGATCCCTGGTTGTTAAGGCCTCCAACTCCCGATGGCTGATTCGTACTACTGGGTTAGGACCCAGTAGTACGAATCAGCCAGGAATCAGCCAGGATTCAAATTCAGGTAAGAATAAGTTCTCAGAATTTAATGTCAATTATAAGCATTCAAATTAAAAGCATATATATTCAAAATACCTTGTCCAGGTCCATTCGGTCCAACTGGTCCTCCGGGACCACCAGGACCGCCGGGTCCTCCGGGACCACCTGGTGCTCCCGGGCTACCGGGTGCTCCTGGTCTGACCGGGTAAGATCCACCTTGTCCTGTAAACAGACGGATTAGGTTGTTAAAGATATATTCTCCACATTTTGTAAAAGTTTTCTAAGATAACGTTGTAAAATCTTTACCAGGTCCAGTTTGTCCACCAGGTCCTAAGGGTTGATTAGGTCCACTTGGTCCACTTGGTCCACTAGGTCCATTTGGTCCACTAGGTCCATTGGGTCCGCCGGGTCCATTTGGTCCAGCTGGTCCACCGGGACCGCCAGGCCCTCCCGGTCCACCGGGTCCACCAGGTGCTCCAGGACTACCAGGTGCTCCAGGTCTGACGGGGTAAGATCCACCTTGTTCTGTAAATAGAAGTTGGAGGTCACTCAATGAAACCAAAAAGTTAAATATTTGAAAAACTTCTTTCAATGAAAACTGTAAGATCCTTACCAGGTCCAATTTGTCCACCGGGGCCTGAGGGTTGGTTTGGTCTATTCGGTCCATTAGGTCCATATGGCCCGTTGGGTCCTACCGGTCCACTGGGTCCATAAGATCCACCTGGTCCACCTGGTGATCCAGGGCTTCCAGGGCTGCCAGGGCTACCGGGGCTGCCAGGACTTCCCGGTAAACCGGGAGATCCAGGTCTGCTTGGGTAGTACCCACCTTGTTGTCCTTAAATCAGAAATGTTACGTTGTAAACCCTGATTGAGTCACTTATTTTATCGATTTTTAATTACTGTGACACAGTGTATGGTCCCAGATTATTGAAAAAGACCGAAAAAGCTATACAAAGAGTACAAAATACTTGCACTAGGTTTTATTTTGACGTTCCTAAGAGGTCACATATATCTCCTTTCATTAATTGTCACAATTTTTTAAACATAAAATCACGTAGGAACCTTCATCTAACCAATTGCGATATGGTCGTCAATGAAAACGAGTGGTAAATTAAGAAAAACAAATTTCCAGTATGAATAATTTGTATCTCATAAAAATATGTATGTTTTTATTATGAGTTACTTTCTTAATGTACGACCTATCTGAAGCAATAAAGTTTTATAATAATTATTATTATAATTATTAAATTAATCTTATTAAAAAGAGTCTAGACGGGCAATATGTTGTTTAATAATTTTGGTTCAATTACAACTATGGCAGAGTGACGGTTTATTTATATGCAATAAAAAATAAATCGTAATTTCGCTTACCTTGTCCGGGATAATATCCAGTACCAGGTTCTTGAGAAGGAGGTGTGCTAGGGCCACTTGGTCCTCCTGGTCCTCCGGGACCGCCGGGTCCTCCGGGACCGCCGGGTCCTCCGGGACCACCTGGTGCTCCCGGGCTACCGGGTGCTCCTGGTCTGACCGGGTAAGATCCACCTTGTCCTGTAAACAGACGGATTAGGTTGTTAAAGATATATTCTCCACATTTTGTAAAAGTTTTCTAAGATAACGTTGTAAAATCTTTACCAGGTCCAGTTTGTCCACCAGGTCCTAAGGGTTGATTAGGTCCACTTGGTCCACTTGGTCCACTAGGTCCATTTGGTCCACTAGGTCCATTGGGTCCGCCGGGTCCATTTGGTCCAGCTGGTCCACCGGGACCGCCAGGCCCTCCCGGTCCACCGGGTCCACCAGGTGCTCCAGGACTACCAGGTGCTCCAGGTCTGACGGGGTAAGATCCACCTTGTTCTGTAAATAGAAGTTGGAGGTCACTCAAAGAAACCAAAAAGTTAAATATTTGAAAAACTTCTTTCAATGAAAACTGTAAGATCCTTACCAGGTCCAACTTGTCCACCGGGGCCTGAGGGTTGGTTTGGTCTATTCGGTCCATTAGGTCCATATGGCCCGTTGGGTCCTACCGGTCCACTGGGTCCATAAGATCCACCTGGTCCACCTGGTGATCCAGGGCTTCCAGGGCTGCCAGGGCTGCCAGGGCTACCGGGGCTGCCAGGACTTCCCGGTAAACCGGGAGATCCAGGTCTGCTTGGGTAGTACCCACCTTGTTGTCCTTAAATCAGAAATGTTACGTTGTAAACCCTGATTGAGTCACTTATTTTATCGATTTTTAATTACTGTGACACAGTGTATGGTCCCAGATTATTGAAAAAGACCGAAAAAGCTAAACAAAGAGTACAAAATGCTTGCACTAGGTTTTATTTTGACGTTCCTAAGAGGTCACATATATCTCCTTTCATTAATTGTCACAATATTTTAAACATAAAATCACGTAGGAACCTTCATCTAACCAATTGCGATATGGTCGTCAATGAAAACGAGTGGTAAATTAAGAAAAACAAATTTCCAGTATGAATAATTTGTACTCATAAAAATATGTATGTTTTTATTATGAGTTACTTTCTTAATGTACGACCTATCTGAAGCAATAAAGTTTTATAATAATTATTATTATAATTATTAAATTAATCTTATTAAAAAGAGTCTAGACGGGCAATATGTTGTTTAATAATTTTGGTTCAATTACAACTATGGCAGAGTGACGGTTTATTTATATGTAATAAAAAATAAATCGTAATTTCGCTTACCTTGTCCGGGATAATATCCAGTACCAGGTTCTTGAGAAGGAGGTGTGCTAGGGCCACTTGGTCCTCCTGGTCCTCCGGGACCACCGGGACCGCCGGGTCCTCCGGGACCACCTGGTGCTCCCGGGCTACCGGGTGCTCCTGGTCTGACCGGGTAAGATCCACCTTGTCCTGTAAACAGACGGATTAGGTTGTTAAAGATATATTCTCCACATTTTGTAAAAGTTTTCTAAGATAACGTTGTAAAATCTTTACCAGGTCCAGTTTGTCCACCAGGTCCTAAGGGTTGATTAGGTCCACTTGGTCCACTTGGTCCACTAGGTCCATTTGGTCCACTAGGTCCATTGGGTCCGCCGGGTCCATTTGGTCCAGCTGGTCCACCGGGACCGCCAGGCCCTCCCGGTCCACCGGGTCCACCAGGTGCTCCAGGACTACCAGGTGCTCCAGGTCTGACGGGGTAAGATCCACCTTGTTCTGTAAATAGAAGTTGGAGGTCACTCAATGAAACCAAAAAGTTAAATATTTGAAAAACTTCTTTCAATGAAAACTGTAAGATCCTTACCAGGTCCAATTTGTCCACCGGGGCCTGAGGGTTGGTTTGGTCTATTCGGTCCATTAGGTCCATATGGCCCGTTGGGTCCTACCGGTCCACTGGGTCCATAAGATCCACCTGGTCCACCTGGTGATCCAGGGCTTCCAGGGCTGCCAGGGCTACCGGGGCTGCCAGGACTTCCCGGTAAACCGGGAGATCCAGGTCTGCTTGGGTAGTACCCACCTTGTTGTCCTTAAATCAGAAATGTTACGTTGTAAACCCTGATTGAGTCACTTATTTTATCGATTTTTAATTACTGTGACACAGTGTATGGTCCCAGATTATTGAAAAAGACCGAAAAAGCTATACAAAGAGTACAAAATACTTGCACTAGGTTTTATTTTGACGTTCCTAAGAGGTCACATATATCTCCTTTCATTAATTGTCACAATATTTTAAACATAAAATCACGTAGGAACCTTCATCTAACCAATTGCGATATGGTCGTCAATGAAAACGAGTGGTAAATTAAGAAAAACAAATTTCCAGTATGAATAATTTGTATCTCATAAAAATATGTATGTTTTTATTATGAGTTACTTTCTTAATGTACGACCTATCTGAAGCAATAAAGTTTTATAATAATTATTATTATAATTATTAAATTAATCTTATTAAAGAGTCTAGACGGGCAATATGTTGTTTAATAATTTTGGTTCAATTACAACTATGGCAGAGTGACGGTTTATTTATATGTAATAAAAAATAAATCGTAATTTCGCTTACCTTGTCCGGGATAATATCCAGTACCAGGTTCTTGAGAAGGAGGTGTGCTAGGGCCACTTGGTCCTCCTGGTCCTCCGGGACCACCGGGACCGCCAGGTCCTCCGGGACCACCTGGTGCTCCCGGGCTACCGGGTGCTCCTGGTCTGACCGGGTAAGATCCACCTTGTCCTGTAAACAGACGGATTAGGTTGTTAAAGATATATTCTCCACATTTTGTAAAAGTTTTCTAAGATAACGTTGTAAAATCTTTACCAGGTCCAGTTTGTCCACCAGGTCCGAAGGGTTGATTAGGTCCACTTGGTCCACTAGGTCCACTAGGTCCATTTGGTCCACTAGGTCCATTGGGTCCGCCGGGTCCATTTGGTCCAGCTGGTCCACCGGGACCGCCAGGCCCTCCCGGTCCACCGGGTCCACCAGGTGCTCCAGGACTACCAGGTGCTCCAGGTCTGACGGGGTAAGATCCACCTTGTTCTGTAAATAGACGTTGGAGGTCACTCAATGAAACCAAAAAGTTAAATATTTGAAAAACTTCTATCAATGAAAACTGTAAGATCCTTACCAGGTCCAACTTGTCCACCGGGGCCTGAGGGTTGGTTTGGTCTATTCGGTCCATTAGGTCCATATGGCCCGTTGGGTCCTACCGGCCCACTGGGTCCATAAGATCCACCTGGTCCACCTGGTGATCCAGGGCTTCCAGGGCTGCCAGGGCTGCCAGGGCTACCGGGGCTGCCAGGACTTCCCGGTAAACCGGGAGATCCAGGTCTGCTTGGGTAGTACCCACCTTGTTGTCCTTAAATCAGAAATGTCACGTTGTAAACCCTGATTGAGTCACTTATTTTATCGATTTTTAATTACTGTGACACAGTGTATGGTCCCAGATTATTGAAAAAGACCGAAAAAGCTATACAAAGAGTACAAAATACTTGCACTAGGTTTTATTTTGACGTTCCTAAGAGGTCACATATATCTCCTTTCATTAATTGTCACAATATTTTAAACATAAAATCACGTAGGAACCTTCATCTAACCAATTGCGATATGGTCGTCAATGAAAACGAGTGGTAAATTAAGAAAAACAAATTTCCAGTATGAATAATTTGTACTCATAAAAATATGTATGTTTTTATTATGAGTTACTTTCTTAATGTACGACCTATCTGAAGCAATAAAGTTTTATAATAATTATTATTATAATTATTAAATTAATCTTATTAAAAAGAGTCTAGACGGGCAATATGTTGTTTAATAATTTTGGTTCAATTACAACTATGGCAGAGTGACGGTTTATTTATATGTAATAAAAAATAAATCGTAATTTCGCTTACCTTGTCCGGGATAATATCCAGTACCAGGTTCTTGAGAAGGAGGTGTGCTAGGGCCACTTGGTCCTCCTGGTCCTCCGGGACCACCGGGACCGCCGGGTCCTCCGGGACCACCTGGTGCTCCCGGGCTACCGGGTGCTCCTGGTCTGACCGGGTAAGATCCACCTTGTCCTGTAAACAGACGGATTAGGTTGTTAAAGATATATTCTCCACATTTTGTAAAAGTTTTCTAAGATAACGTTGTAAAATCTTTACCAGGTCCAGTTTGTCCACCAGGTCCTAAGGGTTGATTAGGTCCACTTGGTCCACTTGGTCCACTAGGTCCATTTGGTCCACTAGGTCCATTGGGTCCGCCGGGTCCATTTGGTCCAGCTGGTCCACCGGGACCGCCAGGCCCTCCCGGTCCACCGGGTCCACCAGGTGCTCCAGGACTACCAGGTGCTCCAGGTCTGACGGGGTAAGATCCACCTTGTTCTGTAAATAGAAGTTGGAGGTCACTCAATGAAACCAAAAAGTTAAATATTTGAAAAACTTCTTTCAATGAAAACTGTAAGATCCTTACCAGGTCCAATTTGTCCACCGGGGCCTGAGGGTTGGTTTGGTCTATTCGGTCCATTAGGTCCATATGGCCCGTTGGGTCCTACCGGTCCACTGGGTCCATAAGATCCACCTGGTCCACCTGGTGATCCAGGGCTTCCAGGGCTGCCAGGGCTACCGGGGCTGCCAGGACTTCCCGGTAAACCGGGAGATCCAGGTCTGCTTGGGTAGTACCCACCTTGTTGTCCTTAAATCAGAAATGTTACGTTGTAAACCCTGATTGAGTCACTTATTTTATCGATTTTTAATTACTGTGACACAGTGTATGGTCCCAGATTATTGAAAAAGACCGAAAAAGCTATACAAAGAGTACAAAATACTTGCACTAGGTTTTATTTTGACGTTCCTAAGAGGTCACATATATCTCCTTTCATTAATTGTCACAATATTTTAAACATAAAATCACGTAGGAACCTTCATCTAACCAATTGCGATATGGTCGTCAATGAAAACGAGTGGTAAATTAAGAAAAACAAATTTCCAGTATGAATAATTTGTATCTCATAAAAATATGTATGTTTTTATTATGAGTTACTTTCTTAATGTACGACCTATCTGAAGCAATAAAGTTTTATAATAATTATTATTATAATTATTAAATTAATCTTATTAAAAAGAGTCTAGACGGGCAATATGTTGTTTAATAATTTTGGTTCAATTACAACTATGGCAGAGTGACGGTTTATTTATATGTAATAAAAAATAAATCGTAATTTCGCTTACCTTGTCCGGGATAATATCCAGTACCAGGTTCTTGAGAAGGAGGTGTGCTAGGGCCACTTGGTCCTCCTGGTCCTCCGGGACCGCCGGGTCCTCCGGGACCGCCGGGTCCTCCGGGACCACCTGGTGCTCCCGGGCTACCGGGTGCTCCTGGTCTGACCGGGTAAGATCCACCTTGTCCTGTAAACAGACGGATTAGGTTGTTAAAGATATATTCTCCACATTTTGTAAAAGTTTTCTAAGATAACGTTGTAAAATCTTTACCAGGTCCAGTTTGTCCACCAGGTCCGAAGGGTTGATTAGGTCCACTTGGTCCACTAGGTCCATTTGGTCCACTAGGTCCATTGGGTCCGCCGGGTCCATTTGGTCTAGCTGGTCCACCGGGACCGCCAGGCCCTCCCGGTCCACCGGGTCCACCAGGTGCTCCAGGACTACCAGGTGCTCCAGGTCTGACGGGGTAAGATCCACCTTGTTCTGTAAATAGACGTTGGAGGTCACTCAATGAAACCAAAAAGTTAAATATTTGAAAAACTTCTATCAATGAAAACTGTAAGATCCTTACCAGGTCCAACTTGTCCACCGGGGCCTGAGGGTTGGTTTGGTCTATTCGGTCCATTAGGTCCATATGGCCCGTTGGGTCCTACCGGCCCACTGGGTCCATAAGATCCACCTGGTCCACCTGGTGATCCAGGGCTTCCAGGGCTGCCAGGGCTACCGGGGCTGCCAGGACTTCCCGGTAAACCGGGAGATCCAGGTCTGCTTGGGTAGTACCCACCTTGTTGTCCTTAAATCAGAAATGTCACGTTGTAAACCCTGATTGAGTCACTTATTTTATCGATTTTTAATTACTGTGACACAGTGTATGGTCCCAGATTATTGAAAAAGACCGAAAAAGCTATACAAAGAGTACAAAATACTTGCACTAGGTTTTATTTTGACGTTCCTAAGAGGTCACATATATCTCCTTTCATTAATTGTCACAATATTTTAAACATAAAATCACGTAGGAACCTTCATCTAACCAATTGCGATATGGTCGTCAATGAAAACGAGTGGTAAATTAAGAAAAACAAATTTCCAGTATGAATAATTTGTACTCATAAAAATATGTATGTTTTTATTATGAGTTACTTTCTTAATGTACGACCTATCTGAAGCAATAAAGTTTTATAATAATTATTATTATAATTATTAAATTAATCTTATTAAAAAGAGTCTAGACGGGCAATATGTTGTTTAATAATTTTGGTTCAATTACAACTATGGCAGAGTGACGGTTTATTTATATGTAATAAAAAATAAATCGTAATTTCGCTTACCTTGTCCGGGATAATATCCAGTACCAGGTTCTTGAGAAGGAGGTGTGCTAGGGCCACTTGGTCCTCCTGGTCCTCCGGGACCACCGGGACCGCCGGGTCCTCCGGGACCACCTGGTGCTCCCGGGCTACCGGGTGCTCCTGGTCTGACCGGGTAAGATCCACCTTGTCCTGTAAACAGACGGATTAGGTTGTTAAAGATATATTCTCCACATTTTGTAAAAGTTTTCTAAGATAACGTTGTAAAATCTTTACCAGGTCCAGTTTGTCCACCAGGTCCTAAGGGTTGATTAGGTCCACTTGGTCCACTAGGTCCACTAGGTCCATTTGGTCCACTAGGTCCATTGGGTCCGCCGGGTCCATTTGGTCCTGCTGGTCCACCGGGACCGCCAGGCCCTCCCGGTCCACCGGGTCCACCAGGTGCTCCAGGACTACCAGGTGCTCCAGGTCTGACGGGGTAAGATCCACCTTGTTCTGTAAATAGACGTTGGAGGTCACTCAATGAAACCAAAAAGTTAAATATTTGAAAAACTTCTATCAATGAAAACTGTAAGATCCTTACCAGGTCCAATTTGTCCACCGGGGCCTGAGGGTTGGTTTGGTCTATTCGGTCCATTAGGTCCATATGGCCCGTTGGGTCCTACCGGTCCACTGGGTCCATAAGATCCACCTGGTCCACCTGGTGATCCAGGGCTTCCAGGGCTGCCAGGGCTGCCAGGGCTACCGGGGCTGCCAGGACTTCCCGGTAAACCGGGAGATCCAGGTCTGCTTGGGTAGTACCCACCTTGTTGTCCTTAAATCATAAATGTTACGTTGTAAACCCTGATGGAGTCACTTATTTTATCGATTTTTAATTACTGTGACACAGTGTATGGTCCCAGATTATTGAAAAAGACCGAAAAAGCTATACAAAGAGTACAAAATGCTTGCACTAGGTTTTATTTTGACGTTCCTAAGAGGTCACATATATCTCCTTTCATTAATTGTCACAATATTTTAAACATGAAATCACGTAGGAACCTTCACCTAGCAGTATCTTTACATAAAATTGTGCGAAGCACAAAGCCAAATTTCTTATATCAAAAGCTTGACTGGCTAGAGAATAGAACAGACAGGAGTTCCGAGAAACTGAGAAGCTTAAACTATTAATTCCTAAACATAAAATAGCAGGATTTAAAGGTGCTATCAAATATGCTGCAGCAAAAATTTGGAATAACCTACCACCTCCCCTATGTTATTATCATTTTTCAATTGTAACTTTAAAAAATACCTTAAAGAATATTACCTACGTCTACAAGTAGAAGCAGCTACGTAAGAAAAGAAAAAAAACTTTATAAATGAATGCGAATGAAGCAAAATATGAAAGAATAAAATCCTAAAAACTTAGACGACTCTTTATTTTTATTTAATCATAGTTGCAATTGTCCCAGTCATGATGCACAAATAAGAGTTATGGTTGTTATGATGCGAAGATGCGCGTGCGTGTTTATACACAATGTTTATACAAAAACCTTATGGTTTTTGTCGTTCTTTTAATGTTTAGTTTTAAAATGTAGTTATGAACTGGAGAAATTGTTTATTTACTTCTTTTTGTGTTCTATAATCATTTCACCGCTATCTTTTTTACTTGCTTTTATATAAGTTTTTTTTTGTATCACTTTAATATGTTATGGAACGGTGCGGCGCTTTTAAATAAGTCAACATAATGTAGAAGGAGCAAGCTGAAAATCAGGGCTGGGCATACCACAGCACATAGCTGAGCTTGTAACCAATTGCGATACGGTCGTCAATGAAAACGAGTGGTAAATTAAGAAAAACAAATTTCCAGTATGAATAATTTGTATCTCATAAAAATATGTATGTTTTTATTATGAGTTACTTTCTTAATGTACGACCTATCTGAAGCAATAAAGTTTTATAATAATTATTATTATAATTATTAAATTAATCTTATTAAAAAGAGTCTAGACGGGCAATATGTTGTTTAATTATTTTGGTTCAATTACAACTATGGCAGAGTGACGGTTTATTTATATGTAATAAAAAATAAATCGTAATTTCGCTTACCTTGTCCGGGATAATATCCAGTACCAGGTTCTTGAGAAGGAGGTGTGCTAGGGCCACTTGGTCCTCCTGGTCCTCCGGGACCACCGGGACCGCCGGGTCCTCCGGGACCACCTGGTGCTCCCGGGCTACCGGGTGCTCCTGGTCTGACCGGGTAAGATCCACCTTGTCCTGTAAACAGACGGATTAGGTTGTTAAAGATATATTCTCCACATTTTGTAAAAGTTTTCTAAGATAACGTTGTAAAATCTTTACCAGGTCCAGTTTGTCCACCAGGTCCGAAGGGTTGATTAGGTCCACTTGGTCCACTAGGTCCACTAGGTCCATTTGGTCCACTGGGTCCATTGGGTCCGCCGGGTCCATTTGGTCCAGCTGGTCCACCGGGACCACCAGGCCCTCCCGGTCCACCGGGTCCACCAGGTGCTCCAGGACTACCAGGTGCTCCAGGTCTGACGGGGTAAGATCCACCTTGTTCTGTAAAAAGACGTTGGAGGTCACTCAATGAAACCAAAAAGTTAAATATTTGAAAAACTTCTATCAATGAAAACTATAAGATCCTTACCAGGTCCAATTGGTCCACCGGGGCCTGAGGGTTGGTTTGGTCTATTCGGTCCATTAGGTCCATATGGCCCGTTGGGTCCTACCGGTCCACTGGGTCCATAAGATCCACCTGGTCCACCTGGTGATCCAGGGCTTCCAGGGCTGCCAGGGCTGCCAGGGCTACCGGGGCTGCCAGGACTTCCCGGTAAACCGGGAGATCCAGGTCTGCTTGGGTAGTACCCACCTTGTTGTCCTTAAATCAGAAATGTCACGTTGTAAACCCTGATTGAGTCACTTATTTTATCGATTTTTAATTACTGTGACACAGTGTATGGTCCCAGATTATTGAAAAAGACCGAAAAAGCTATACAAAGAGTACAAAATACTTGCACTAGGTTTTATTTTGACGTTCCTAAGAGGTCACATATATCTCCTTTCATTAATTGTCACAATATTTTAAACATAAAATCACGTAGGAACCTTCATCTAACCAATTGCGATATGGTCGTCAATGAAAACGAGTGGTAAATTAAGAAAAACAAATTTCCAGTATGAATAATTTGTACTCATAAAAATATGTATGTTTTTATTATGAGTTACTTTCTTAATGTACGACCTATCTGAAGCAATAAAGTTTTATAATAATTATTATTATAATTATTAAATTAATCTTATTAAAAAGAGTCTAGACGGGCAATATGTTGTTTAATAATTTTGGTTCAATTACAACTATGGCAGAGTGACGGTTTATTTATATGTAATAAAAAATAAATCGTAATTTCGCTTACCTTGTCCGGGATAATATCCAGTACCAGGTTCTTGAGAAGGAGGTGTGCTAGGGCCACTTGGTCCTCCTGGTCCTCCGGGACCACCTGGTGCTCCCGGGCTACCGGGTGCTCCTGGTCTGACCGGGTAAGATCCACCTTGTCCTGTAAACAGACGGATTAGGTTGTTAAAGATATATTCTCCACATTTTGTAAAAGTTTTCTAAGATAACGTTGTAAAATCTTTACCAGGTCCAGTTTGTCCACCAGGTCCTAAGGGTTGATTAGGTCCACTTGGTCCACTAGGTCCACTAGGTCCATTTGGTCCACTGGGTCCATTGGGTCCGCCGGGTCCATTTGGTCCAGCTGGTCCACCGGGACCACCAGGCCCTCCCGGTCCACCGGGTCCACCAGGTGCTCCAGGACTACCAGGTGCTCCAGGTCTGACGGGGTAAGATCCACCTTGTTCTGTAAAAAGACGTTGGAGGTCACTCAATGAAACCAAAAAGTTAAATATTTGAAAAACTTCTTTCAATGAAAACTGTAAGATCCTTACCAGGTCCAATTGGTCCACCGGGGCCTGAGGGTTGGTTTGGTCTATTCGGTCCATTAGGTCCATATGGCCCGTTGGGTCCTACCGGTCCACTGGGTCCATAAGATCCACCTGGTCCACCTGGTGATCCAGGGCTTCCAGGGCTGCCAGGGCTGCCAGGGCTACCGGGGCTGCCAGGACTTCCCGGTAAACCGGGAGATCCAGGTCTGCTTGGGTAGTACCCACCTTGTTGTCCTTAAATCAGAAATGTCACGTTGTAAACCCTGATTGAGTCACTTATTTTATCGATTTTTAATTACTGTGACACAGTGTATGGTCCCAGATTATTGAAAAAGACCGAAAAAGCTATACAAAGAGTACAAAATACTTGCACTAGGTTTTATTTTGACGTTCCTAAGAGGTCACATATATCTCCTTTCATTAATTGTCACAATATTTTAAACATAAAATCACGTAGGAACCTTCATCTAACCAATTGCGATATGTTCGTCAATGAAAACGAGTGGTAAATTAAGAAAAACAAATTTCCAGTATGAATAATTTGTACTCATAAAAATATGTATGTTTTTATTATGAGTTACTTTCTTAATGTACGACCTATCTGAAGCAATAAAGTTTTATAATAATTATTATTATAATTATTAAATTAATCTTATTAAAAAGAGTCTAGACGGGCAATATGTTGTTTAATAATTTTGGTTCAATTACAACTATGGCAGAGTGACGGTTTATTTATATGTAATAAAAAATAAATCGTAATTGCGCTTACCTTGTCCGGGATAATATCCAGTACCAGGTTCTTGAGAAGGAGGTGTGCTAGGGCCACTTGGTCCTCCTGGTCCTCCGGGACCACCGGGACCGCCGGGTCCTCCGGGACCACCTGGTGCTCCCGGGCTACCGGGTGCTCCTGGTCTGACCGGGTAAGATCCACCTTGTCCTGTAAACAGACGGATTAGGTTGTTAAAGATATATTCTCCACATTTTGTAAAAGTTTTCTAAGATAACGTTGTAAAATCTTTACCAGGTCCAGTTTGTCCACCAGGTCCTAAGGGTTGATTAGGTCCACTTGGTCCACTAGGTCCACTAGGTCCATTTGGTCCACTAGGTCCATTGGGTCCGCCGGGTCCATTTGGTCCAGCTGGTCCACCGGGACCACCAGGCCCTCCCGGTCCACCGGGTCCACCAGGTGCTCCAGGACTACCAGGTGCTCCAGGTCTGACGGGGTAAGATCCACCTTGTTCTGTAAATAGAAGTTGGAGGTCACTCAATGAAACCAAAAAGTTAAATATTTGAAAAACTTCTTTCAATGAAAACTGTAAGATCCTTACCAGGTCCAATTGGTCCACCGGGGCCTGAGGGTTGGTTTGGTCTATTCGGTCCATTAGGTCCATATGGCCCGTTGGGTCCTACCGGTCCACTGGGTCCATAAGATCCACCTGGTCCACCTGGTGATCCAGGGCTTCCAGGGCTGCCAGGGCTGCCAGGGCTACCGGGGCTGCCAGGACTTCCCGGTAAACCGGGAGATCCAGGTCTGCTTGGGTAGTACCCACCTTGTTGTCCTTAAATCAGAAATGTCACGTTGTAAACCCTGATTGAGTCACTTATTTTATCGATTTTTAATTACTGTGACACAGTGTATGGTCCCAGATTATTGAAAAAGACCGAAAAAGCTATACAAAGAGTACAAAATACTTGCACTAGGTTTTATTTTGACGTTCCTAAGAGGTCACATATATCTCCTTTCATTAATTGTCACAATATTTTAAACATAAAATCACGTAGGAACCTTCATCTAACCAATTGCGATATGGTCGTCAATGAAAACGAGTGGTAAATTAAGAAAAACAAATTTCCAGTATGAATAATTTGTATCTCATAAAAATATGTATGTTTTTATTATGAGTTACTTTCTTAATGTACGACCTATCTGAAGCAATAAAGTTTTATAATAATTATTATTATAATTATTAAATTAATCTTATTAAATAGAGTCTAGACGGGCAATATGTTGTTTAATAATTTTGGTTCAATTACAACTATGGCAGAGTGAGGGTTTATTTATATGTAATAAAAAATAAATCGTAATTTCGCTTACCTTGTCCGGGATAATATCCAGTACCAGGTTCTTGAGAAGGAGGTGTGCTAGGGCCACTTGGTCCTCCTGGTCCTCCGGGACCACCGGGACCGCCGGGTCCTCCGGGACCACCTGGTGCTCCCGGGCTACCGGGTGCTCCTGGTCTGACCGGGTAAGATCCACCTTGTCCTGTAAACAGACGGATTAGGTTGTTAAAGATATATTCTCCACATTTTGTAAAAGTTTTCTAAGATAACGTTGTAAAATCTTTACCAGGTCCAGTTTGTCCACCAGGTCCTAAGGGTTGATTAGGTCCACTTGGTCCACTAGGTCCACTAGGTCCATTTGGTCCACTAGGTCCATTGGGTCCGCCGGGTCCATTTGGTCCAGCTGGTCCACTGGGACCGCCAGGCCCTCCCGGTCCACCGGGTCCACCAGGTGCTCCAGGACTACCAGGTGCTCCAGGTCTGACGGGGTAAGATCCACCTTGTTCTGTAAATAGACGTTGGAGGTCACTCAATGAAACCAAAAAGTTAAATATTTGAAAAACTTCTATCAATGAAAACTGTAAGATCCTTACCAGGTCCAATTGGTCCACCGGGGCCTGAGGGTTGGTTTGGTCTATTCGGTCCATTAGGTCCATATGGCCCGTTGGGTCCTACCGGTCCACTGGGTCCATAAGATCCACCTGGTCCACCTGGTGATCCAGGGCTTCCAGGGCTGCCAGGGCTGCCAGGGCTACCGGGGCTGCCAGGACTTCCCGGTAAACCGGGAGATCCAGGTCTGCTTGGGTAGTACCCACCTTGTTGTCCTTAAATCAGAAATGTTACGTTGTAAACCCTGATGGAGTCACTTATTTTATCGATTTTTAATTACTGTGACACAGTGTATGGTCCCAGATTATTGAAAAAGACCGAAAAAGCTATACAAAGAGTACAAAATGCTTGCACTAGGTTTTATTTTGACGTTCCTAAGAGGTCACATATATCTCCTTTCATTAATTGTCACAATATTTTAAACATGAAATCACGTAGGAACCTTCACCTAGCAGTATCTTTACATAAAATTGTGCGAAGCACAAAGCCAAATTTCTTATATCAAACGCTTGACTGGCTAGAGAATAGAACAGACAGGAGTGTCCGAGAAACTGAGAAGCTTAAACTATTAATTCCTAAACATAAAATAGCAGGATTTAAAGGTGCTTTCAAATATGCTGCAGCAAAAATTTGGAATAACCTACCACCTCCCCTATGTTATTGTCATTTTTCAATTGTAACTTTAAAAAATACCTTAAAGAATATTACCTACGTCTACAAGTAGAAGCAGCTACGTAAGAAAAGAAAAAAAACTTTATAAATGAATGCGAATGAAGCAAAATATGAAAGAATAAAATCCTAAAAACTTAGACGACTCTTTATTTTTATTTAATCATAGTTGCAATTGTCCCAGTCATGATGCACAAATAAGAGTTATGGTTGTTATGATGCGAAGATGCGCGTGCGTGTATAAGGTTTTTGTCGTTCTTTTAATGTTTAGTTTTAAAATGTAGTTATGAACTGGAGAAATTGTTTATTTACTTCTTTTTGTGTTCTATAATCATTTCACCGCTATCTTTTTTACTTGCTTTTATATCAGTTTTTTTTTGTATCACTTTAATATGTTATGGAACGGTGCGGCGCTTTTAAATAAGTCAACATAATGTAGAAGGAGCAAGCTGAAAATCAGGGCTGGGCATACCACAGCACATAGCTGAGCTTGTAACCAATTGCGATACGGTCGTCAATGAAAACGAGTGGTAAATTAAGAAAAACAAATTTCCAGTATGAATAATTTGTAACTCATAAAAATATGTATGTTTTTATTATGAGTTACTTTCTTAATGTACGACCTATCTGAAGCAATAAAGTTTTATACTAATTATTATTATAATTATTAAATTAATCTTATTAAAAAGAGTCTAGACGGGCAATATGTTGTTTAATAATTTTGGTTCAATTACAACTATGGCAGAGTGACGGTTTATTTATATGTAATAAAAAATAAATCGTAATTTCGCTTACCTTGTCCGGGATAATATCCAGTACCAGGTTCTTGAGAAGGAGGTGTGCTAGGGCCACTTGGTCCTCCTGGTCCTCCGGGACCACCGGGACCGCCGGGTCCTCCGGGACCACCTGGTGCTCCCGGGCTACCGGGTGCTCCTGGTCTGACCGGGTAAGATCCACCTTGTCCTGTAAACAGACGGATTAGGTTGTTAAAGATATATTCTCCACATTTTGTAAAAGTTTTCTAAGATAACGTTGTAAAATCTTTACCAGGTCCAGTTTGTCCACCAGGTCCGAAGGGTTGATTAGGTCCACTTGGTCCACTAGGTCCACTAGGTCCATTTGGTCCACTGGGTCCATTGGGTCCGCCGGGTCCATTTGGTCCAGCTGGTCCACCGGGACCGCCAGGCCCTCCCGGTCCACCGGGTCCACCAGGTGCTCCAGGACTACCAGGTGCTCCAGGTCTGACGGGGTAAGATCCACCTTGTTCTGTAAATAGACGTTGGAGGTCACTCAATGAAACCAAAAAGTTAAATATTTGAAAAACTTCTATCAATGAAAACTGTAAGATCCTTACCAGGTCCAATTGGTCCACCGGGGCCTGAGGGTTGGTTTGGTCTATTCGGTCCATTAGGTCCATATGGCCCGTTGGGTCCTACCGGTCCACTGGGTCCATAAGATCCACCTGGTCCACCTGGTGATCCAGGGCTTCCAGGGCTGCCAGGGCTGCCAGGGCTACCGGGGCTGCCAGGACTTCCCGGTAAACCGGGAGATCCAGGTCTGCTTGGGTAGTACCCACCTTGTTGTCCTTAAATCAGAAATGTCACGTTGTAAACCCTGATTGAGTCACTTATTTTATCGATTTTTAATTACTGTGACACAGTGTATGGTCCCAGATTATTGAAAAAGACCGAAAAAGCTATACAAAGAGTACAAAATACTTGCACTAGGTTTTATTTTGACGTTCCTAAGAGGTCACATATATCTCCTTTCATTAATTGTCACAATATTTTAAACATAAAATCACGTAGGAACCTTCATCTAACCAATTGCGATATGGTCGTCAATGAAAACGAGTGGTAAATTAAGAAAAACAAATTTCCAGTATGAATAATTTGTATCTCATAAAAATATGTATGTTTTTTTATTATGAGTTACTTTCTTAATGTACGACCTATCTGAAGCAATAAAGTTTTATAATAATTATTATTATAATTATTAAATTAATCTTATTAAAAAGAGTCTAGACGGGCAATATGTTGTTTAATAATTTTGGTTCAATTACAACTATGGCAGAGTGACGGTTTATTTATATGTAATAAAAAATAAATCGTAATTTCGCTTACCTTGTCCGGGATAATATCCAGTACCAGGTTCTTGAGAAGGAGGTGTGCTAGGGCCACTTGGTCCTCCTGGTCCTCCGGGACCACCGGGACCGCCGGGTCCTCCGGGACCACCTGGTGCTCCCGGGCTACCGGGTGCTCCTGGTCTGACCGGGTAAGATCCACCTTGTCCTGTAAACAGACGGATTAGGTTGTTAAAGATATATTCTCCACATTTTGTAAAAGTTTTCTAAGATAACGTTGTAAAATCTTTACCAGGTCCAGTTTGTCCACCAGGTCCGAAGGGTTGATTAGGTCCACTTGGTCCACTAGGTCCACTAGGTCCATTAGGTCCACTAGGTCCATTGGGTCCGCCGGGTCCATTTGGTCCAGCTGGTCCACCGGGACCGCCAGGCCCTCCCGGTCCACCGGGTCCGCCAGGTGCTCCAGGACTACCAGGTGCTCCAGGTCTGACGGGGTAAGATCCACCTTGTCCTGTAAACAGACGGATTAGGTTGTTAAAGATATATTCTCCTCATTTTGTAAGTTTTCTAAGTTTCATTCATTCATTCATTTTAAGATTCATTTAAGAGTAGAACTAGTTATTGTTTTTATTACCTTGTCCGGGATAATATCCACTGCCAGATCCTTGTGATGGAGGTGTGCTAGGTCCACTAGGTCCACTAGGTCCTGAGGGTCCTGCGGGTCCTCCTGGTCCTCCGGGACCACCGGGACCGCCAGGTGCTCCATGGCTTCCAGGTGCTCCAGGACTTCCGGGTGCTCCAGGGCTTCCAGGTGCTCCAGGTCTCACGGGGTAAGAGCCACCTTGTCCTGTCATTAGATATTTGGAAAAATGTTATATCCGGTTGTGTAAACTTTTACATTTTACTTAAATGTTCCATCTCGTTAATGTGCCATCACACGATAAAATAGATTTAAAAGTCATTTATAAACTAGAATTATGTACCTACTTAATGAAGTGTTATATACTTAGAATCCAGTAAACTATGAAATCGAGTACAAATTGTTATTGAATTGCGTTTTCACTGGGTTTTAAAAACCAACTGACCTTGGCCTGGGTAATAGCCTGAGTTTTGTCCTCCTGGGCCAGACGGTCCGGATGGACCTCCGGGTCCACCGGGACCTCCAGGACTTCCTGGGGTTCCAGGGCTACCGGGTCTGCCAGGGATTCCTGGGCTGCCGGGACTACCGGGTGAGCCAGGAGATCCTGGGTAATAACCGCCTTGTCCTTAAAGGAAGATCTAATGTTAGGCAATAATACTCGTATATTTAAGAATAATTTGAGAACAGATAAAATTTAGGTTAATTTAAGGTTAACCGTGAATGAGGTAAGTATTTATTTGCTTTTAATGTATAATTTGAGAGTAGAACTAGTTATTTTTTTTATTACCTTGTCCGGGATAATATCCACTGCCAGATCCTTGTGATGGAGGTGTGCTAGGTCCACTAGGTCCTGCGGGTCCTGAGGGTCCGGCGGGTCCACTAGGTCCTGAGGGTCCTGCGGGTCCTCCTGGTCCTCCGGGACCACCGGGACCGCCAGGTGCTCCAGGGCTTCCAGGTGCTCCAGGACTTCCGGGTGCTCCAGGGCTTCCAGGTGCTCCAGGTCTCACGGGGTAAGAGCCACCTTGTCCTGTCATTAGATATTTGGAAAAATGTTATATCCGGTTGTGTAAACTTTTACATTTTACATACTTAAATGTTCCATCTCGTTAATGTGCCATCACACGATAAAATAGATTTAAAAGTCATTTATAAACTAGAATTATGTACTTAATGAAGTTTTATATACTTAAAATCCAGTAAACTATGAAATCGAGTACAAAATGTTATTGAATTGCGTTTTCACTGGGTTTTAAAAACCAACTGACCTTGGCCTGGGTAATAGCCTGAGTTTTGTCCTCCTGGGCCAGACGGTCCGGATGGACCTCCGGGTCCACCGGGACTTCCAGGACTTCCTGGGGTTCCAGGGCTACCGGGTCTGCCAGGGATTCCCGGGCTGCCGGGACTACCGGGTGAGCCAGGAGATCCTGGGTAATAACCGCCTTGTCCTTAAAGGAAGATCTAATGTTAGGCAATAATACTCGTACATTTAAGAAAAATTTGAGAACAGATAAAATTTAGGTTAATTTAATGTTAACCGTGAGTGAGGTAAGTATTTATTTGCTTTTAATGTATCATTTAAGAGTAGAACTAGTTATTTTTTTTATTACCTTGTCCGGGATAATATCCACTGCCAGATCCTTGTGATGGAGGTGTGCTAGGTCCACTAGGTCCTGCGGGTCCTGAGGGTCCGGCGGGTCCACTAGGTCCTGAGGGTCCTGCGGGTCCTCCTGGTCCTCCGGGACCACCGGGACCGCCAGGTGCTCCAGGGCTTCCAGGTGCTCCAGGACTTCCGGGTGCTCCAGGGCTTCCAGGTGCTCCAGGTCTCACGGGGTAAGAGCCACCTTGTCCTGTCATTAGTTATTTGGAAAAATGTTATATCCGGTTGTGTAAACTTTTACATTTTATTTAAATGTTCCATCTCGTTAATGTGCAATCACACGATAAAATAGATTTAAAAGTCATTTATAAACTAGAATTATGTACTTAATGAAGTTTTATTTACTTAGAATCCAGTAAACTATGAAATCGAGTACAAATTGTTATTGAATTGCGTTTTCACTGTGTTTTAAAAACCAACTGACCTTGGCCTGGGTAATAGCCTGAGTTTTGTCCTCCTGGGCCAGACGGTCCGGATGGACCTCCGGGTCCACCGGGACCTCCAGGACTTCCTGGGGTTCCAGGGCTACCGGGTCTGCCAGGGATACCTGGGCTGCCAGGCGTACCAGGGGAACCGGGAGTACCAGGTGTGCCAGGATAGTAACCACCTTGTCCTTTAGAATATAATATTTGTAAATGATTTATGAAATTTATTCAAATAAAAATCAGAGTGTTTCGCTTTGTGTTTTTTTTTGTACTGTTCATCAATACTAAAATAATTTATATCTATGGAAGAATTTACTTTTAGTGAGAAAAAAAACGATTTTATGAAATTAATTCTTACCTCCTGGATACACAACACCAGGTTTTGGGTTGCTGTTTTGTCCAGCGCTATCTGGTGGTGGACGAGGTGGCCTTGTCGGTTTAGGTTTTGGTAGTGGGCGAGGAGGAATTCCACCAGGAGTTTTACCACATCCTCGTGGCAAGTATAGCTTATTCCATGGCACTATCTGACCAGGAAGAGGACTCGGAGTGACCAAACTAGAAATATGAACAATTTGTTAATAGTCTTCTTCTTCTAATTACTATTGGGATAAATCCTTTTTCTCATATATAATATGCAATGAAGAAGTTTGCGTACTTTTCATCGTATTCGTGGTTTTCCTCTGGGAAAACTTCCACAGGTTTTTCGGGTTCGATAATTCTGTAGCCGTGGCTGTCAGCAACGTAGTGGGTGACACGAAGGTAACCGTCGGGGTCAACGTAGCCGTAGCAACCGTAAGTCACACCATCAGGGCCTTTATTTTCATGATGAAATTGACCGTTGGGGCCGACATCGTAACCGAATCCGTATGCACCTAAAATAAACGTTTATGGTAAATATTTCAGGACTATATATTGAGATTTTTTAAATATGAAATACAGGAAAATTAAAAGACGGATCCCAGTTTGGATACGTTTAGGTTTAATAACTTAAAACGCTTACTGTATCGTATGTAAAATAAAGTTAAGTTATACTCACTAGTGTCGTAGTTGGTTTCATAGTACTGTGTTTTTTCATCGTCCTCAATATTAACCACAGTCTCCTTACTATTATCGCCATACGATCCGTATTCACGAGCCTCGCGGGCATCTTCTTGAATCAATGCTCTCGTTTCATTAGCATCTTCGGTAGCATGTGCTACTACCAGAGACACCTAGTAACAGATATAAGTATTTTCAGATATAAAAACAAGATTGTCACAATTTGAATTGAAATATTTTCTATTTAATTTTAAATTGTTTAGAGGCTTCTCAAATAATTATTAACGTTTGGTATAAATCATTGTAAGAGGTCTTGTTTATTATAATCACGAGACCGAAAGTTGATATGTTAATTCATGTTAATGTAACTTAATAACATTCAAAATATGCTATGAGGATGAATTTTAAGGGCGTTGTTGTCACACACATTAACGTATAATTCATTAAATTGAATATTGAATACAAATAACTTCTAACTCCGCTTTTTATAACAAATAAGAACATTTAAATTTGTTAAAGTTATTTAGACAAAAAATTAAAAAAATGTTCGTTATGAATCATCTTAGATTTTAAGGAAAACTTTTTCAAAAAGCCACAAGTGTACTTTATACATGTACCTTTTTTGATTTTAATTTATTTAAGAAAACAGTAAATAGAGAATTCCTGTGAATGCAGACTTTTTTACATATCAATCTATGTATAACTGAAAAAGGTTTTCTCTTAGTTAAAGTTTAGTTTCTCTTAGTTAAGTAAACTTGTTCCATAATAAGTTAGATGTGATATAAACATGTGGCGCTCATAAAAGATAAATTCATTATTTCGTAGTTAATAACCACTACGAATTATGAAACTCATTTTGAATACAACATTAAACAGGAAAGATGATTATGGATTTTATTTATTTGTCAAAGTTTCTAACTCTTTAAGTACTTTGTCGGTAGTTAATTTTAGGAAGAGATTTCAAAAACCACAATGTAGCGTATATATATAGCAACGCTTGAAGAGTGCTCATGGATAATAATTGTTTAAAGAAAATAATGTATGTATATATTAAGAAGATAAATAAGAAAAAGTGTCTAATATAATTTGGTTTAAGTACTAACATTGTAATCTCTCTTCGCTCTTATATATACTAGTTGATTATGTAATACATATATTGTGTGAAATACCGATAAGATTCACATTAATTTCTTAATAAAAAAATAAATAATGTATTAGGGTTACGCAGGAATATTTTTTACGCAAACCGAATTCTGATTATATTAACATTAATTTTACGGAAACGGATTACTTTTGAGATTTCGGTCAGGTCAATAGCGAATCTTTTTCCATACAAAGACAGATTAAAAATTCGTCTCACGGACGGTTTATATTTTAGTAACGACCATGGTGTTCTTGACCGTAACCTCGGCACAAACAAACCATCTTAAGTTTCAGGATCACGTACACAAGACAACAATCGAGAAAATAGAGTTTGATACGCTAACACGCGTAGGTATTTGGCAAAAATTTAAGACAGTAGTAAGCTTTGCAATTTGACATAAAATTTGTTCCCCATTACAGTTTTTCTATTTCAGTAAATAAAAAAGGTTAGTGTTGCATGAATAATTTTGTTACGATGTTGCGTTCGAACTGCCAAAAAATCACTTAACCTAGTATTCTAGAGGAAAGAAGTTTATTAACAAACTTTAAGCGAATATTTATTTAATCTGTAATGAGAATAGGTAAATTCACCTATTAAAAATTTCAATTCTCTATTTTATATTAATTACACTCAATAAATACTAACAACTCGTAAACCAGACAATAGACACAGTAGCTAAAAATACATAAACATACATTTTATTTAAAATCTTATCGCTTATCGCAACAAAAGAAGTGAATATAACTTTATCTTCCTGAGAGATAAATCTTTGGCTGCATTAAACTTTTCATTACGCCGACATTGCGGTCTCTCAGAAAATTTGCATAATACATATTTTATTGGCTTTTCTGCTCCGAGTCTTTGTATGCAAAAACAAAAAATAATAATTGAACAGCAGTTAAGACAAAATTAAAAGAATTAGTTTTTCTTTACGTATTCATTAAAATGATATTTTATAAATTATTCTAGTTCAAAATCTAGTTTTTGAAAGGCTTGAAAGTCAAAGTAAACTACAAGAAAAAAGTTGTTGCATTCATCTGCGTAATATTGCTGGCAATTTATGTTTCTGTATGTAGATATAACAACACTAAATACATTTATCATTTGTAATTTGGTAGTGCCAAGGTGCGGCGAGTGACGCCAGAAGTTTATGTCATAAGGAGAGTGTGTGTTTGTGTGTTGTGTTAGACGGTAAATGACGCTGAAGGTCGCTGGCATCCAATTATATTGAATAAAAATTATAAATGCGGTGAAAGTTAATATAATATTTTTCAGTTTTATTTAAATATGCCTGTTTTAATTCGTTACAAACCAGCTTGGTCATTGTATGACGGGAGCTATTGTATGATGTACGAAGATATTATTTTTATACCTCTATTACATAGTTAATAATATTTATTATAATGGAATAGCTTTTTATATATTATTGTAGTATTTTGCAAAACCTATTATTATCAACAGATTTTAATAGCTAGTAGTAACGGTAACAATATTAACTCTTTTAAATAAAATTTCACAATTAAATCAATAATAGAGACCCTTGAAATATTTGTGTTTGTCAATATATTCTTCTATATTAAAATATTTGAACATTTTTAATGTTGACATTGACGGATGTTAATCGTTAGATATTAACACGAGAATCTGATCACGATATAAGCTGTATAATGTATATTAATGTAAATATATTTTGGCTAATGCTGTTAGCAACTTTAAACAGTTGCATACTATCCATATTTATTTAGCGCTGACTATGAAATATTGGTATATGTTGCCACATAAGTTTAGTATTGCAAGATTGTTCACAAAACACTTGCCTATTGAATTATTGCAATCGAAAGTGTGTTAGTAAAAAGTTTTAGAGGTTTTCTTTTTGCATAATTTCATCAAACTGAACAAATTTTTAAAATAAAACTCAATAAATCTTAAATTATTCTTAAATGTCTATACTATATGAACTAAAGAAGGTTGAATAAATAAAAAATATTTTAAATGTAGGGTCAAGAAAAAAGCATCAACAATAGCCTTCAAACATATATGTGTGTTTGTACATAGACATATATAAATATATATTTATATGTGCTGAACATTTGAGATGCCTCAGTTTTGTACAATTTATATGGCATTTGGGTGTTATATAAATTTAAAACATAATCTTTGTTAAGGCTTTTTGTATTCTCATATTATATTTCATTATAGTTAAAATTAACTGATAATTTTTAATAATTTTATATTTCTTGGATATTTTTGATACTATGACCTTATTTTTATATATTATTGCATATGTTTTGCAACATTCGTTGTTTTTTATTCCAACAATATTTAAAATCTCGGATAATAAATATAAAGAGGCTATAATAAGATGAATAATTTAATGAAGTAGGCTATTTAAATTGCTAACACTGATCGTCTTGCCTTGAAATTAATAATAAATTAAAATAAAAACCACGTGTCTCGTCGCGTCGTCTTAATATTTAATTTCCTGTAGTTCTATATACAACTAGTATATTTTGTTATTTTCATACTAAAATATATAATTAATTCTTGTCAAAAACTCTTCTTAGTAGGAAATTTAGGCAGAGAAAATTATATTTTTCGGAAATATTAGGTACTTCATAGCTTTAATGTCGCTTCATATCTTAGTTTATTTAAAAAAAAATATTCAAATGAATAAATCACTATCTTTAGAATTAATACTTCGATATCAGCCTCAATAATAATTAAATAATTATCTATAATATTAATTTTAAATATAAATAATTTTCAAAATTAAATATTCATTTGATCTACACCCAGAACGCATTTTACAAGCGGAATACAAATGTTGCTAAGATAACATATTATTTTTCTATACTAGTTTTCTTTGGTTGTTGTTATATCTTTATAGCTTTGATGTTTTATATATTTGGAATGCCGTCGGAGTCACTTACGTCATCGTTTCAATCGAACATCTAACATATCAAAGGTGAGCTAGAGTGGATCCTCAACCTTTAAGACATATTAACTAACCGTTACATTGTCATATTCACCTTTACAACCTGGATAAAACTTTTGTTATAAAAATAGAAATGACTCAACCTCATTTAAATCGTGGCGAATAATACCCAGGTATACAATTTAAAGGAAATATTTTGAGAACTTAAAACTTTAAATTCAACATGACTAACCTTCTAACGCGTTTTTTATTTAAAATTCCACCGCTAAAGTTATAAAGTTCAAGTTAATAAATGGAATTATAAAATGTCAAAGCCTTGTCTAGAGCGGGATTAAATAAAAGAAAGACAGACATTTTTACAACCACTTCTGAATACTAAGGTTTTCTTTTGTCATAAATAGGATGGCTAACTTTGGTCAAATTATGGAACTAATTAAAAAATGACAGCGTAATTTTATTTATGCTGGGAGTTTTTATTATATGATTCATCTCTTATTCGAAAGTCCCTTATGTAATGTAGTCACCAATCGTACCCCATATGGGTGAATTCGACCCCAGTTTTGCCACAATACTATATGGATACCGTTATACGCAACCAGTTATGTCAAATTCAGTCATTATACCGCCCACTGAATGATTAAATGATTGACAGTACAAAGAGGAAATACTTGTGCAAATCTGTCCATCAGATGCCGATGTCAATGTCCTCTTATGTTATTTCCCTTGCATAACCGGCTCACAACAGGTTGTTTTAATAAAGGGAATCAATAAGAGAGATTAAATGTTACGCAATTAATGATTAAATCGCCACGGAACTCATCAAGATTATTCATATACTTTTTCATATTAATTTGGTATAAGATATTTTCTTACGGAACTCATTGTTTAACTCAAACAATCGTAATGTTAATCATGAATGTATGTTTTTTGTTCCCGAATTGCTAAATGTTAAAGTATTTTTTTTTTTGTAAACGAGAAACTTACAGGTGTGGTTTATTGTATGGTTCATTATTTTTTATTACTATGTATTTTGGATTTCTTCTCGTATTTTATGTATCACTAATATCTCCAATCAGATCCAAACACATATATTATTACAGCTATTTTTTTTTTAGTTAATTTTATTTTTATAACCTAATAGTCATTCATTTATTTGTCAAAATAGATATCTTAAAATAGCCACTAACAGTGGAATAATTTTCGTATTCATACTAGTTTAAAATAAGTCAGTTTACGAGGAGATCAAGTTTTCACGAGTTACAATTTGCATGTGATGAATATGCACTTCTTGATACTAAAATTTTATTCTATCATAATTTATATAACATCATTATCATTAATAAATTTTAAACATATTTTTCATAAATATTAAAAAAATTGATAACGGAAGATTATACTGAGTTATGCGACGCTCCCGCACTATGACCTTTTAAGACAAATAAAATAATTCAAATTAGTTAGACACAAATATGTTTATGTAATTAATATGTAATAAATTATAAAGATTGCCAAGGAAATCTTGTGTTTCATCTGCTAGTAGATATCCTTAAATGGGAAGTCGTTAAAAATTTTAGACACGATTGTTAGCGTCAAATTAATACTGATATTTCAATGACTTCTGAACGCGAGTTTCATGGTTTTTTAACGTGTAATTTTTAATCTTTAACTATTATAATAGTATTAATTTGATAACAACTCTTTTAAGCTAAACTTTTCTATTATAGTTTCTGTATTCAAGGGAATACATATAAATAAACGTTGTTTTAACAATACCATTATTTAATATTTGTATAAAATGTAATTAGTATAGCGAAATTTTTTCAAGATATTTTTGATATAGTCATAAAATGTTTCACTGAATTAATATTAATAGCTTCTGTTAATAATATGAATAAATAAAAAAAGACAAAATTTTTGTCAGCAACTCGAATTCTAGTGAGGAAATTTTTTGTAACTTTATTTTTACAAGATGTACAATTTTATATATTACTTTAGTGCTTTTAAGAAAACACTGTATTTGGTTGATTTATTGAGGCTGGGTCCATCATACACGCCTATCTTCCTTTGTTATTGCGAGTCGAAAAAAATTATAACTTGACATACCTGCTTTTGGAATTGGACATTTTATAATTTGCGACATAGTTAACTTATTCAGTTTAATTTTTTTATTCGAATGTTTATTGTCTAGTCGTTAGTAGGAACGTTGACTTGTTGATTTTACATCGATAAAAAAATATTTATTTATTGTAATATTTCAGAAGTCAGATAAACAATAATATGAAAGTATATAGTAGATAAACAATAATACAATAATACATATAATAGTAGTATAATTAAAAAAAAATTATACGTCTAATTTAACAGTGAAAATGCAATTTTCTTTTTATCTGATATAATTTTTCATCGTTTGTTTAACTGTAGAACATTTTATGCATCTTTATTTGGTGGTGCGATTACAGAGCAATGAAGAACAAACATATCCATTATTGTTAAAATATAATTCTTGATATCATAATTTATTGTGTTAGTTAAAGCGTTATGTAGCCAAGAAATCTTGTAAGATATTCAAGAAGCTGGAGAACAAGATGTTTAGAAAAGATTTACACATCTATCGGTTGGCGACACCCATGATTGCGTCACGTCAGTAAAATACATGCTCATAATACAAATTATATATTTAATATCCATAGGACCTTGGTCAAAATACCATTAAGTGATAACTTTATGAACACGTGATTTTTTAATATTCTAAAAGCTAATTTTATATACACAAAGATTAATATAGTTTAGTCAAATTTTGAGTGATTTGATAATATTTTAATTGTATGCAATATCAATATAAATTAATAAAAACTACACGGGTCTATGACTCAGACACCAATGTATGTGATAAGGTCAAGGTCGATAGAAATAGTATTATTTTTATAATATTAAAATATATTATACATGATATTGAAACTTCTAGAAACGGAGAATATTAAGTCACCAATACTAATATTTATTAATATTCATGACATCTTAAGAATGTTATTTTTAATACATTTATATATTTTAATCAAAAGACAATATTTTAAATTTTAGTTCCAATGTTAAGAGTTATTTAATTAATTTGATTGGTTTTACTTAATTTATTATTATTATTAGTGTCCAAGAGATATTAGAATTGCGATAATTGTTCCTTAAGCTTGTAAGGTCTTAATGTTAGTTTATCATTTATTTACTTAAGAAGCTATATGTTTACTTTAAACTTACCAGAAAATAAAAGAGTAGTCCCGGAGCCATGGCCCGGGTTTTGGCCTGGCTGGCCAACTCGAGATGATAAAAGAAGCTCCAGCAACAACACAATTAGGCCTCTACACAGAGCCCGCTATACTCATGTCTTGCTAAAATTAGCTAACGTGCCCCGCTCACCAGCGGTTGACTTCAAAACTAAGTTGTGCAAACTCGAAGAAGCGCCTCTTATATTACTTCTTACTATACGATGACACCGCAACGTATTTGGCATACGTTTACAGCGTGTGTGTGAGTATTTTTGGAGATTTGTCTATGTGTGTGTGATAGCTGTTTGCCGAAAGCTATCTGCATCCTTTTAACATAATTTTTCATGTAAGCTTCTTGTCTTTATTCAGCCTCCATTAGAGCTTATTTATGTTTGAAATCAGTCATAATTTTTTAATTACTAAGATTATTTAGGTATTATAACTTTGATCCCGACATTGAGCTTTGTATTTATCAAAATTTAAATGGAAATATTCTAATTACTTCGTTCAACAGTGTCATTAAATTATATATGCACATACATTTGGTTTGTGAGAAAAATAGATTCTTCTATGCAGTTTACACGGCGTATGCAATGTTTATATTACCGAATAAATATCGTAAATTAAGCAACTGATAACAAAACATTTTATATCTAACCTTTTTAAGGTATATTATAGTAATAGTATAAGTTAATAACTAGAGTTTTTATTAAGCTTACATAAAATATAAAAATATTTATAACTTTCTTCTGTTATTTTTGTGAAGTTAGAAAAAGTTGTACCGTCTAAAGTTGTTCCGTAATCCTATTAAAACATTTTTACTGGGAAAGCAAAATTTTTGAAACAACTCAAAGACTACTCAAGTTTGGAGCTTATTAGACAGCCTTTCTTATTTTATTATATTTCCTTATGATTTTTCTTCATTCAGGTATTTTAAAATGAAAATAAAAACTTGAACGAATTCATATTTTTGTTAATAATTTTAAAACAACCAACATGTTAATTTTCTTCGTCATACATTGAAACTTCTTTTATGTAGATATCTCGGTTTTATTATAAAAAAATAAGCATAGACCTAGTATTTATATAAGTATTTTTTTTATAATTAATTATTTGAACCAAAATTAAAATATTTAAACTGTCTCAATAGCAAAGCGAGTTATTTTGCAAACCGTTAAATTATATAGATGACCAAAGTTTAGGACGAAAAATATGTTGATATGTTTTTATTATTTTGCCAATGCATTATTATATTATTAAATATTTTTTAAAATAAATGTCATTAGTTCCACAATACAATTTAGAACAAACATTATCTGAAACTTTATAGCTATTTATAAACAATCTTCTAATTTATTTATGTATAATAAATACTTTGGAAATTGAGGTGATAAATGTATACATTTCGTATCTTCTTTTCCTTCCGTATGTCAGTTTTTTCAAGGGACATACACATAGAAGCACCCGGAGATATCAAACAGGTGTTAGCATAAAGTATGGAGTTGACACACTCGTAAGATAGAGATGTTTGTTCTCTTAGATGGGAAATAAAATCTACAGTGTAACCGCTAACTTGCAGTCATGATGTTGGATTAAAGAATTCAATGTAATGTAAGTAGGAAACAAACCAATATTAAATTATAAAGAAAATGGATTTCATCTCCAAGTGTTAACGTTAATAATCTTAAATTTATTTCGACACTTGTATTATCGTAGTTCATAATTAAATGACGGTATACTTGCAATCAAAGTGCCGGGGCTTTATTTGATTTTGATAATAAACCCATTTGGATTACAAGGCAAACTTTCAATCGTCTGGATTTTCGGTCTTTTGTATCCTTATTTACTTTTCAAATTAATTATTTGTGTTCATAGATTCTACACACAGTTAATTAAAAATGTTATGTACAAAGTTTAAATCTTAATTTTTTTTGAACCAATTACACAGTAAAACTTAAATAAAAAGTCTGCTTCTTTTTTTCAAATTTTCGTTATAAAGACATTTTATTTTCTTAATTGCATAATCGAAAATCTTTTAAAATAATAAACACCATTTCATGCAGTATTAAACCGTATTTTATCCGTTTAAAACCAGAATCGGTAAAACCCAAATCTTTGAGGCAACACAAATCCTCTCGCAACTTTCATACCTACAACATTGCGTACAACATACATAAATAGAATTCCTTTTTTGTCTTAGGAACTGAGGATGTGTTTATAAATATATAATTAAATTCTAATTTTGGATATACATATTATGATAATCAATTTATATTACCAAAACCTCTAAAGAAATATGTTTATATGTAGGTATGATTCACCATACTTTTATTTCTTAAATTTTTACAAGTTAATTACCTAAAAATTTTAAGAATCTTTTGTTCTGCTTCATAAATATTTTAAATAATTGCATTCAGCGCCTTTGCGATATTTTTATAAACTGGTAGATTTTATCTAAATAAAAATTCTAATATTTTAATTGTTAAAAGCTTAATTAACATATAAAGCTAAATAAATCATTAAGTCGAAGTTAGTATAATAATTTATATTAAATGTTTTTCGTTGGCTAGGTAGAGCTTCAATGTAAATGGTTGTTGAACTTCCTGTCATTGATATTATCCATTTTTTTGTTGTATCTAGTACATATTAAGAGTTTAAGGTTACAAACTAATTAATATACAATCGGTGTGTCGACAACTGATTTATCTATTGTGAAATATATACGTATAATATTTATATAGATGCCGTTACAAAACTTGGATTTTAACATGAAGTTTATACTGAAATGGAATTAAAGAACTTATTTTTATATAAAACGTGTTGTTTGTATTAAAGTATTTATTTTAAATTCTTAATAGTTCTGCATCAAGTTACAGGATATGTGGTTAAGCAAAAATCCTGCCAAAAACCCACTTACACATTAAGATTAAAAAGATAGCTACTCATTGTTTAGTAAATACACGTCTTGTGAATAAAATAGTGAACATTAAACTCTCCACACCTACAAACATTAGATATATGGAACATTTTAAAATATTTTATGTAAAAATAAAAAACATATATATAAATATATCGATCACTGTTTTTAGTTAGCATATTTTCTGTTAGTCACAAATTAAGTGACAATTATTTTGATATTTATGAGAACATCCTTTAAATTTATGTTTTTTGGTGATATTAGATATTAATACAGAACCGTTACTACTTTAAGAAATATACATATATGAACGAGGATATTCACCTCAAAAAAAATATAATAATGGGCGTTTTGACTCTTTGAGATAAGAGATCTATAGTTGCGTTGATACCCTAATATTATTTACATTGCATAAAGCAAGCGACTTTATTAATTGTGCTTAAATACTTTTGAATTATTATAGCTTGCGGCCGTAAATTACTTATTTAATTTTACATATTAAAATGATATTAGAACAAAGCATAAATATTTTAATAATAAAATTGTTAAGAAAACAAATTACATTTAAAAAAAAAACATATCAAATAATATTATTTTTCAATCTGTTTTACATTTGTTTATTATATGAAATGTTCGTAAAGGTACCAGTAAATTATAACATTTTTAATACATATTTGGAAGTACCTCAAATAAGGATCGAAAGTAAATTATATTTATGTTTCATTTCATCATAAATCTGTTTGCCTTTGATTCTCAAAATTTGAACACGAAAGATACCAAGGTTTTGCAAATTTGAAAAATATAATTTATTATAATATAAATTATGAAGCTTTAGTGCTACTAAAAATTGATTGAAACGTCTTTATTCAAAAATATTTTAGCTGTTATTTTGTTATATATTTTTAATTCTGTAAGTGACAAGCCAAAGAAAAAGTACAAATTTATGTGAAAGGTCAAAAATACTTTAGGAAACGATCTTGCTCTTAAACAATACTTTTCTGTATAAAACAAAGAATAAGTGTTATGATGTTTTATTTATTTTTTTGCCTTAAATGTATAACAGTGGAATAATTTTAAACCTCCTTTATTCTAAATAACCCTTAATTTCCTTGACGAGAAAATTTAAATCCAAAATAATAACAACACTTTAGGCTGGTTAAGTATGTTTATTTAGGGTCCAAGAGATAAATTTAGCGGTATCGGAGATGGTTGTACCGCGTATTCGTCGAAGGCAACGGGAGAGACAGGAATTGCGATGTTCGATTTAAAGTGAAAATATTTTTTTTCGTATAAGGCCAATGACCGTGCCACCGGAACAGCGAACAACATACAAGATGACGTACGCATGATATATTTTGAGCTTAAGATACATTCCAATTGTTTTTCGGAATATATTAGCTGTTCAGAGACTTAAGTTACAGTTAAGCTCGTTATATCCTGCACACAATTTACAACTCTATCAAAGTTAAATTCGGTATATTATTGCATAACATTTACTCACTATTTTCCACTTGTGTTTCTTTTCCAAGTTGATATATTTATAAATTTAATTTATTTAATAAGAAATTTAGTCACGTTTTCGATAAGGTAATACGTTTAACAGACATGAGTAATTAAGGAGTCCAAATAGTTTTGTTGATTTATAATGTTTTTATTAGCAACTATCCACTTGAACATTAGTGTGCCATTAATATTGTTGATAGTTTGAAAAAAATATATATTGTAATATATAGATTAGATAATTTTTAAGGGAATATTTATTTTTCTTACATTTATTTCGTTATTGGTGGTGGATTTTATAAATATTACATTTTTGGGAAATCTAAATGATCATCTTATTGTTATTCTCATTTCTCAAAATCAATTAAAACCTTAGCTGTAGGAAATAGTTGTTAACACACAATGGAAGCTTTATGCAGGAAAACGAGCAAAATTGAGTGTACAACTACTGATTTCATATATGAACGTTTTAGAAAATACATTTAGTTGGAGATTATCTGAGTCATCTTGTCGATTTGTCACAAAAATTAGGGATATATCACATACGTACAGTGGTATTACAACATGGTATACACTGAGTAATAAATTAAGCGAATAAATAATTACTCACTGTGAAAAAGTGCCCTCAAAAG